CCTCACCCTCCATTTCAGCACCTGGGGTTCTCCTTCAATAAAAAGCCCAGTTAGCACTACCAATTTGAGTAACACCTAGCGCGAGCCATGGATGCCTGTACACGTGGGCCCCAACACATCCAAACAATGATGATAAATCGCCACCAGTTGTTTCACATGCGCTCTCCTGAACCTCCAAAATGTGAAATGCACCCACACTGCACTGATTAAAAGCTCCCGTGAGTGCGAATTCTTCTCCCTGCATAGGCTTCTACACCACAAAAGAACATTTCATACATCATACTTGAAACACATCGGAGCCTTAAAAGCAACTTTATTCTATTGCCATTACAAAACAGAGCTTTCATTGTCTGCTGCTGAAATGCTTTGAGTCATCTTCTTCCAGTAATAACTAATCTGTCGCTCACTCTCTTTGTATCTGACAATTCATGGACAGAACAATTACAGGAGAGGAAAGTGGCATGGCAGTTTCAGAGGGTGGACTCAAACACCCAACTAATGTTAAATGATTTTGGTTTAGAGTATAATTCTCTTAAGCATATGAATTCTGATAATCTACTTTGAGAGCAGACTGGTACAGGTTAAGTCGCAGCAGCACTGTCTAATAAAGATAGAGCCAAACATGAATAAAAAAACCCAGGAGACTAATATAGTATAATTTAGGAAATCTGACAACTATTTATTCTCTGTAATATCCACAGCTCACATTTGTCTATTATTTTCATGCCAAATCTGCTGCTTAGTTACTAGTATTTCTGTTATTCAAGTGACCTATCACAAGCCCACTTCATGCCAACACAGGTGTGTGAGTTAAAGTCTACCAACACATGTATCTCTGTGCATTTCATACAGACTTAAAATATGGCCGGCACAACTTCGGTGTCAAGGCCTTGCCATTAGTCACCCTCATGAAGATTCAGCAAAATCTGTCCAGGACAGTAAAGGGAAAAAAACCCCAAAAACACAACAGAAGGAATTTTAAGAATGGCATAATGCCCATGCACACTATTTCAGAGAAAATTTTATATTTGATCTCTCAATTCTCAAGCATTTGATTGTACAGAGTAATAACACGGGCTTTTTTTGTGTAGTATCTAATCTGAGGGAAGAAACCTAAAAGGGAATACTTAGAATGAATTGACAATTAATGTATTTCACTTGTAAGTATCTGCTCAGCAAGATGCATACCGAGCATGTATCTGAACTAATGAGACAGAGGGAACCCTTAGCTACAATCATAAAAAATTAAATGCAGCTAAGATATATGCAACGTGTTCTTGAAGATAATTGGGAACTTCATACGCTGTACTGTGTCAAACCACTTACCTGCTAATGGACAGTTGCTGATCATACAAGATATGTCAGAAGGTTTCCTTCAGACTCTGAAGCATGCTCATGTCTAACTAAAAGCTTCCAGGATTTACCTCCTTGCAAGCTGGTGGTAAAAATCTGGGTTAAGACTACATAAGCCTTCTCATAAAATAAGGTGATTCCATAGCACGTATTCATGAAGGAAGAGAACAAAGTATTAACGTATTAACATTTGCACATTAATACTGTCATGGATCTAATTAAAATAACTCTCTTTTCCCTATTAGCTCTGCTCCCTCACTTCCCAAGTTTACTTTAGGAGTGTATTTGAATAAACAATAGAGAAGTCACAAATTTAAGAACAAAAGTTAATCTTTTTTAATTTACATTCTCATTTTCCTATAATGATTTCTATCATAAACAGGGGAGTGGCTGAATTATCCAATGATTTCCTTTCAGGGAATGCTGTCATCTCTCAGTCAGACATATCTAAGACATGCGAACGATTAAGGAAAAGATATTGCAACTCCTGTGATGCAGCATGTGCCATATTTCACAGCTACAAATGTTACTATCTTCAATAAAAGGAAGCCAACAATTCCCTTCAAGTCATGAAAGTACTAAGCTTAGTTGTGAATGACTGCATATAGCGTGTTGTGACACATGCAGGAAGCGTTATGTTTTGTAAGAACAAAGTTCAGATTCTTCTTGCCAACATGATTTTGATAAGGAAGCAACTCTGTGCCAAAAAGAAAAGATGTTTGTTTTCCAAATCCTTATATAGTCCTTACCACGCATGTATTTGAGATTCCATTTTTATACACTGGCATAGAGCATGACTCAATCTATCATTCTCTCTTCGACACATAAGGAGCACACAAACCAGGTATGGCAATTAAGGGGCCACATTTTATTCATTATGCAAAGAAAGACAACCATAATCTAGAACTAGAAGTATCTGGTGAGAAGTTGTAAACTCCTCCTCCCAGCCACCCACAGCAAATCCCCTGATCCACGTAAGAACTCTGTTAATCAGAAAGGCTTGATCCCCTTGATCTAAATGCCTGCATCTGAAGTCCACAATCAGATCAGCCTTACCTGCCATCACATAGCTATGGTTCAGCATCAACCAGTTGGCTACCATTCCTTTGTAAACTTTCGAGGGCTGAATGCTTACCATCTGCTTCTGCTGGACCTTATTTGCTACTGGCTCTTCCAGACCAAGAGAAGAACTAAGCAGACACCTGGGAAAGTCATAACTTGCTTGATGGAAGTCCCTTTGCTCTTGCTAAGGTCCTCAAACCAACAGACAGGAAAGGCAGTAGTGATTCAGCTGGGAAAAGCTCGGTCCATCACACCTAGGAAAGTAATGAAAACAATATCAACTTGCTTGGAAAATCCTCTAAGTGAAGTAACTTCAGAGAAACATAACACGCTACTGCAGTTACAGTCTGAGTGAGTGAACAAGCATTTCCAATTTGCTTTTAATTCCCAAACTGCTAGGATTAGATTACAATTCCTACACAGAATAAGCTAAACCTATCCCTGTTCCTTAACACCACATTATATTTTACAGTGAAAATGGAATGTTTATTTTCCAGGCTTTTTCCTCTAAAAATTATGACATTTTTCATAAACTCATTATTGCACGTTTACTTTTCATTTACGAGAGCTAAAAGTCAAGCTTTCCTTCTCATTTACAAGTCAATAGTATCGTAACTTCCATCTTCAAAATTGGTTTTTATTTTACCTGCTCTATCAGTTATATCCCAAAGGGAAAAAAATGCACTGAAGTGGGAGTGCAAGGTATCTTCATTTCTAATACTAGATGTACTTGTTACTAGTCAAAAAGTAAAGATGAAAATTCATAAATGAACCTTTATAACTATTCATTATCCTATATAGTATGCTTAATTGGCATGATAAAGTGATGCCTCCCAGCCAAACACACAGTAAAAACCTATTTAACACTCAGCCTTCAAATGGGTTTAAATCCACCAACATTTTTGAGTTGATACTCCAATCATGGCTGCAAGCTCTGCGTGTGTATTTTTACATATATGTATACTTGTATCTACATACGTAGCACTTTCTGTCCATCAGCCTCACTTCTCTCTATGACAGGTTCAGTGCTACTCACGGTGCTAGCAGAACTGTCACAGGTGAACAGTAGAGAGGGGCATGTACCCCTTCATAATGCTGATACTCAAATTCATATCAATTGACCGCTTCAGCTGATGGCTGCAAAGATGAAAGGAAAAGGTCTTTTTGAGACTCTGCAAGAGAACCATGGAAAGCACATGTTGCTTTGTTTTTAAATAATGACTTGTCTACAGTCATACCCACCTGTTAACTTGCCCGTGAGCTCACCCACCCAGGGAATGACATTAGATTGACTTAGAGAACCCCTTGTATCACAGGGAGTACTGTACTGAATAGTGGTCATTAACTTCAATCGTGCCTCTCATGTTATAATGAAACCTCTGAAGAACCTGTTGTCTGCTTATTAAAAAAACAAACAACCAAAACCAGACAGAGGCATCCTTTGCTATAGCAGTCAAGAAAATATTTGTTTCTCCAGGGACAGCATCCACTGATAGAGTTCATCTGCAGACAAAATCTTGACCTCTGAACAACTACTTAAAAGCTAAATTTCTTGTAGCCACGAAATAGCCTATTCTGTTTAAAGACAGACTTTTAGTAAAACATATGGTTAACAGATCAACTGCCTAGGAAGAAAGAGTATACACTGAATGAAGAAATTCTAGTCATATTCATATTTCCTGTTCACAGCTCTCTGTAAGCAAATTCAACAGCATACATGAGAACATTATATCCACATCTTGTTAATACAGTCATCACCCTTCAAAATACAGGCCAGTTTCATTTATTAAAGATTACACCTGCTTTTGAGTCTTTTCTATTTAGTCCGTAGTATAATATTTAAAATATTCTAAATAAAATGAATACCATTGAGAGTTTTACAAAATATTTATTTTGAAAAAATCACTCTGTACAAATTTAACATTCTCAACACCGAAGTTTTATAAAAATGCTAACAACAGAAAGACAACTGAAACATTAAACTGATCTTTCCTTAAATTACAAAGAAAACAGTTTCATTCCAAAGAAGCTATTGTAATTCTAAACATGAAAAAAACCCTTCATAAAATTTGACTCTTTTTTATCTATTACAGCCAAACACATGTATCCATGGATGCCTTTTTCCATCCTTTTTATAAACTTCCCCCCCCCCAACACTGTCCACAACAAACCAAATACTCTAAATGGTTTACATTTTCACTGTACATAGCTTGTGCTCCAAGAAAAGCTAGCACAATTTGATCATCATTTTCTCAGTGCCTAACAAAAACTCACCTCTATACATTTGGTACAAAATTCTCTGTACAAACTAACTTTGCTCATGTAAATTTGAAGCAAACTTAAAGGAAGAGTATTTATTTGTGCCTTCAATTTGGTATAATGAAGGGACAGTAATGAAGTAAAATTTCACAAAATAACATTCAGTAACTGGAAATACTGTCTTTTTTATTTTTTAATTTTTTTTTTTTAGTAATTACTATGGTATGAAAAAAAATTATATACTGCAGGTTATTAGGAATGCCAGGCCCTAAATCTAACAGTGCTAGGTTTATAGTCCCCCTCATAAAATAAGATTTTTCTGTACAATATTTAAGTTTCCTCTCTTCATTTTAAGCTACTTGTGAAAACTGTTGTTACATATTAAACAACCTTTCTTAAACAGGAGGAAACGTCTCCTCATGAAATTAAAAGCAGTGAAATTGTCCTATTACTGTAAACACAATTAAAAAGAAGACTGACAAACTGCAGTGTGGCAGGTAAGCCATGGTCTGGAAAGCTTTTTTCACATTTTTTTAACACAATATATGGCTCACACCACAAACAGCAGCAAAAAAAGCTATTGAAAATTTCAAGTTACAGCCAGGGGTGCCAGGCGGGATCCATACGACAGAGATTATCCAAGCTATTTGCAGCTGCTACCAGAGTGTTGACTTTGCTTTCTCCTCCTTCAAACTGAGCAAGATTATGAAGTCGAGTCATGATAGCAGTAACAGCTTTTTGAACTAGTGAAACCAGCTGCTGGCTGTCCATATTTTCGGGTTGCCCAGCTGCTGAAAGTGGAGAGGAAGTATCCTCTTGTGTTTTTTTGTGCCATGCAATTATTTCATCCCGTAGCACAGTTTTTAGGATGCCATCAACCTACATGAAGGAGAAAAATCAGACTGTCATATTTAATCCAAAGAACCATCAGAGATAACAGATAACTAGATTTTAGTCAACAGCATTTTGACACTTCTGGTTCCGCATTGCAATCTCAGTGTTTTCAAGATGAATGTGGCTTCCAACTGTCTTTACTATTTCCTCTCAAGGTGTTTCTTTTCATAAAAAGCTTTCATCATGAAAACACATCATGCCTCCAGCAGAATTGAAACATCGCTTAAACTGAAACATGTATTAAGATCTTCATACACAAATGCAGTCATGTACATTCTGTGTTAAGATGACTCCACTAAATTTATGACTTTTCCCACACATACACAGAAGTCTTGTGCAAAGATTAAGAGTGCTTTACAAAGCTGGAGTTTTTCTGCACAGGGATTATACTCTCAGGGAACACTGTTTTCTGCCAAACATGGAACAAACACTGACTGCAACATACATACATACATATGCATTTAATACATAAACACACTATATACATATATAGATGTATATAATATGTGTACACATAGGTATATGTAGGTCAGTTCTACCCTTGGATGAAAAAAATGCCAGCAACAAACAGTTGCTGCTTTTTCTCATCGCTGAGTTGAGTCACTGACATTCATCTGTCAACTCCAACACTCCTGAGCTTCTAAAACGAACTTCTAGGTAACCAGTCTGAGTCAAATTCACTGTTTGCACATAACAAATAAAACATTTTATAACACACATACTTATTAGGCCAACATATTATATATATTTTATAGGCATTTGTATAAAAGATAAATGCAGAGTGTTGCCTAGATGCTCCCTGAATTCTGGCATGCTTGGTGCTGTGAACACTTCCCTGAGGAGCCTGTTCCAGTTACCAACCACCCTCTCAGTGAAGAGGCTTTTCCTAATGTCCAGTCTGAACTTCCCCTGATGCAGTTTCATTCCATTTCCTCATATCCTATCACTGGGCACCAGAGAAAGGAGCTCAGCACCTCGCCTCCACTGCCCCCTTTGAGGAAGTTGTGGTCTGCAATGGGTCACCCCTCAGCCACCTCTTCTCCAAGCGGAACAAACCAAGTGACCTCAGGTTCTCTTCAGAAGTCTTGCCCTCAAGATGTTTCACAAACTTGGTTTCCTTCCTCTGGGCACACTCTTAATATGTGAGATGTCCTTCTTATACGGAGGCAGCCAACACTGCACGCAGTACTCAAGGTGGGGCTGCAGCAAATCGATGTGGCATGTGTCCAAGTGGGCATACATCATTCAGATGTTGAAATTACAGGCTATGTTTGCAAACTCGTTTGCACGTATAGACATGGTTTTGTAAGGTAAGATGACGAATTATTAAAAATATATTCTACACAGCTTGCTTTATTTTAGATAAGGACTAAAATCACTTTAGGATATTTTCCATCTTTTATAATGCAACTAGCTCACGCCATACCTACTGTATATTCTGTGCAGTATCTTTCTGGTGCAAATTGCTTGCCTAAGTGCAAGATGCCTCATTTTTGGAAAGCATTAGAATTTAAAAGGAAGTTAGACAATTTCTTCAGAAAACTACACCCCGTTAAGAGCTAGAATCCATCAAAGTAACAGTGTATCTTTAGCATTCTATTCCACTAACAAAGAACCAAAACACATTTCTATCGACAGATGATTATGAAGATTCTAAATGATGTTGTATTTGCCATTTTACTATTTAAGACTGTCAGAATTCTTCATGACTTATGAGGCTAGAGCAGTGAATTAACATGCTTGGACAAAGAATTAAATCAAGGATAGAATTACACCTATATTCCTCCTATTCTTTCAAAAAGGCAAACTACAAACTGGCATTTGTGATGACCTCAGAGTAAGATTTAAAAACAAACACATACTGTTCAATTTCCACTTTAACCAAGAAAGTGCTGAGAAGTTTCTAAATTGCCAAATATAACATGCCTGCAAACAACCCTTTCAAAAGCTATACAAACCTTAAAGTTTGGCTGTGCAAAGCAGCGAGCTACCGCAATCATAGATGCAGTCAGTGGGCCAGACACCCCGATGGTGGTAAGAAATTCAGAGATGTTTGGTGTAAGCCTGAATGGAACTGGACGATTGGCATCCAAATCTCCAGTAGCATCATTAATGTCAAAGCGAAAGTAAGCTACATTCAGCTTGCCAGTATCCTGGATTTAGAAGCAAGATGCATAAAAGTAATTAAAAGAACATTCATTTAATTCACGAAACCAAAAGATTTTGGATTTTTGTTTACTGTTAATACTCAGAATACAAATGTACTCCCAACAGCTTCTCACTCTTTCAGTCACAGAATCACAGAATGGTTTGGGTTGGAAAGGACCTTAAGCTCATCTAGTTCCAACCCCCCTGCCATGGGCAGGGACACCATACAATAAACCATGTGAACCCATGACTGTCCAACCTGGCCTTGAACACTGCCAGGGATGGAAAACAGTTTTTGAGCAAAAAAATTAAAATTAAAGGTATGCATAAAGTCAGGTATGTATTTTTCTCAAAATGTGTATCTAAAACCCGTTGCTAAATACACACTGTTGTAATATCAAGCTTAAGGAATAGATTCTTCTGTAGTATGGTCTATAAGGAGTCATATGGACAGACACATCTCTGTGCATCCCAGCTCTGGACAAGCATTCCCTGTGCATTGTTCACTTAGGGTAAGCATCTGAACACTTACCCAGAGGGATTAAAGAAACTTAATTGCTATACAGAGCATATCCCTGCATGCATTAAAATGGCATTAAGACTTTAATATATACCACCTTCGCCCTACTAAGGTGGCAAGCCTCATTTAAAATGTTGGGTTAAAGCAGAAAGATCACTATTAAGAGGATTTGTAGCTTGACATGATGGCAATGCCGAAAAGAGAACAGTATTTGAAAAAAAGGTATTCCCCTGTATGAAAATGAAGCTCTAAATTTTATTTTTTTTTAGTCTGACACAAACACATATTCAAAGCAATATACCTAAAGGACAAAAACAGAGACTAATCAGTCATTTACATGAACAGTTCCAATATCTAAGAATGATTTTACAAAGTTTTACATTCTCACCATAAAAGGTAGAACTGACATCCACAGGGATTGCAGTTTAAATTGCTACCTACATGATGTGCAATCACATATGAATGAAAAGCCTACTGACATGCACTGTTGATTACGTTTATCAAATTACTGTTTTGACTCACTTCAAAAGTATAGTCCAAATTTCTATCTGATCAAAGACAACAGCATGCATCTAGAACAAACTAACCCATACCTGGGCAATCTGCAGCATTTCAGGATTGAGTCTATTTAAATGAAAGATGAATTCTGCAAAGCCAATTAGGGCTAGCTGAATAGTGAACATCTTTCGGAAAGTCCAGTAATCTGTGGCGTTGGGGAATGTATGCAGAGCCCACTCCTTCAGCATGCTGCGTGGCACCATGTTGCTCTGGACTTCCTTAAGTATATCTCTAAGAACCTGCATATCAAAAATATTAGTTGAAAGAGATCATTTTTAATACGCTTCTTACCAACAGACAAATGTGCCAAAAGCAACTATCAAACTTCTCTCAACTGCTGTATCCCATTTTAGGAAAAAAAATATCCTGAACTTGGATGCTTTCAATCCAACACCATTGCCCGGCTTCTTTGTCAAAACACAGATAGTGTATTTTTAGCCCAGCCTCTGCACAGCAAAGAAATATTTTTATCTGAAAAAACTAAATTTTTAATAAAACCATATAAGCATGAGAACTGCAAACAGACATGTCAGAAAATCAGAGACTGAAAAACTATATAACCTGATTTGGTGTACCTTCTATTCAAGACTTTAATGAAAAACAGGCTTGAGCTAAAGAGACATTCAACTCATGATGCAGCACTTCCTTACGGGAAACTAACAGAACATAATTCTCTATTTTCTAGCTTCAGTGCAAGCTGGATAAGCATTTTGCAGCAATGAAACAAATCCATTTAAGTATTATGGCACAATTTGAAATCGTGCATGGGACTACAAAGCATGCAACCTAAAGATGGCTCTCTGCATGGTTTCTTCATAAACAGGGTAAAAGGGAAAGGATGTTTACTACACAAGATAGGGAAAGGTTTACTACACAAGATAGGTAAAGACTGCGTGAAGTAATTTGTAACATGCATTATAATACAGCAAAAGTACCTCAAAAATGCCAAAGGGTAAAAGCTGAGAGCTGTATTCAGCTGTTTCTGTCAGTGTACACTCTGCAATAGCTTTTCCTCTAGATGTATACTTTGCAATCTACCAAAATATTTAATTACTGTACCATACACTAGCCTAATTAATTAGAAAAAGATATAATGTTAGGATCTGTTCTATTACACCAGAAAGCATGATAGTCATACTGACTTCAATTAAATGGCTGTTAGAGAGTTTCATAACCTGAAGGAAAAACCCTCAAAAAAGAAACAAATGTTAGGTGACCCTCCATTTTATTTTTAACAAAGGAAGCCTGAACAGATAGTGTCTTCTAAACCAGGCCTACATGTATACCACATATTTCCTAATAGCTATATTTGAAATGGGACTGGCATTTTATGTAAGAATTTGCATTAACCTTGAGATAAAAAAACATGAAATAACCTTATTTATCACAGTTGGATGTTTGATGGAGGTAGGTGAGAGGGAGCTTTGTTCTTTCTGAGTACTATCATTTATTAGGGTGAGATTACTAAACTGTTTCTATTTGACTTGGATGAAATGAATCCACTGGCAATTTTAAGGGATCCATTAGAAGACCTTGGGGAAGCCTGCAACACATCCCATGCTCTAACTGCTTAGGTAAATTAGGAATGCTGTTTCCTGTGTTATCAATTCATTATTTTCAAAGCACTTTACATAAGGACCAAAAAGCAATCAACACCTTGCCTGGTTTCCATTGCAGTTACTCAAAATAACCTAGAGTAAAACAAATACAGCTTTTTTGAAGCTTTCCAAGATAACCTAAAACACCAAACAGATCTAAGAGTTCCCAAGAATACATTAAGCAAAACCAAAATAAACTCGAATAAAAATCAAAATGCCACCTCTGCACAATGTATCTGTCTCACATCTAATGAGAGGTGATGAATCTCAGCAGGGGATATTGGACATGGCAGAGTCCTCAAGGAAGCCCTTGATTAAAATTCATTATAGATGCTAATACCTGATGGCTAGCTTGAGTCCCTCGTGCTTGGACCGTTGCCAGTCTGTCATAGTAACGAGAAATAGGGTTGTCATGCTCGATGCCTTTCTTGGCACAGCGTTGCTTATAGATCTCCACCAACCAAACGCATCTGTGGAGAAACTGCTACAACGCGGGGGACTACGAGACATTTGAGAAGGGTGAGAGGGGATGGTGGTGGAGCAGGGAGAAGGGAGAGAGAATAAAAGAGAACAAACCAGTTAATCCATAACCCAAATACTAAGAGGAGAATTAGCACACAAGTGAGATACAACTGTGATCATCAACTGAAGTGTATCAAGAGAAAATTTTTATTACTACACTCACAACTAACTCACAAGCTCAGTTAAAAAGAACGATAGCAGATTTTTGTAACAGAAACATCAACTGTATTAGCAAAAAAATGTAACACTCATTTTTCCTACTTTTCTTTACCTGCAGAAAAGAGGTTAAAACTTTGTTCAGATGCAAACAGGTTTGTAATATCTGATTACATGACACTGGCATTATGTCAGTAAAAATGAGCCTGAAGAACAAAACTACTTAGCTCAACAGGCTATTTAAAGTGATTCGGAAAAACTGGAGGAAAAAATCTGAACATAGTTGAAGAATAGATGTTTAAATGACACTGTTTGAAAACAACACAGGGAAGACAGCAAAATATTCAACAATAAGAAAACCTAAGGCACTGAGCTTTTCCTCAGTGAGCAGTAAAGTTGCAAAAACCCTATCTGCACTTTCATGGTGCTCAACAGATGTATCATCCTACTGAGTCTTATGTGCATCCCCACCCACATCAAAACAGACAAGGCCTTTTCATAGCCAGCTTTTCCAGTGACACTGTACTGTTTGACAGCGACCTCCAGTTACCACCAACACTGTTCTCTCAACAATTCCCTCTGAAGCTGTAATAATTAAACTCAGAAATATAGGGAAAAGTTGTTTATATGCATTTAGATTGTTTGATGCAATTTCTTCAGTCTTAAAGAAGAAAATGCATTCTGCAGAAGGGGTGTTAATGAGCTATTTCTTGTGGTCTGTTTCTATTAACCTCTGGCAGCAGAGAAATGGATGTTCTTTAGGTTCTTCCAAATAGCATCAAACCACAAGGAACAGAATTATTTCCAAAAACACTATAGTTCAAAAACAGCTTTTTGAAGGAAAACATGTTACTTTAGTACTCATGTTATATAGAGGATATACTTCTGTACCAGCGTCTTTGTTTATCATATCTTTAAAGACCATTTATTGCACTTTTGTTATATTGGCTTTGGAGTGATGCAACATTGTCTTCACATATGTAGAGATATTGACCTTTTTTAATAACAAATCCTTTGGCTTGTGTATTTTTGTCTTTCTAAAGTTAGCTCTGTAAGTGACAGTTGCATTACCTGGACACCTAAACTCATGACAACAACTTCATGTAAATAGATACTATTAGCACAAGAAGCAGGACCAGTAAAATTATACTTTTTAAAAATCAGAGCTCAGCACTTTTTAAAAGGACAACAGCATAGTAGCAATTTTGTTTGTCTCTAATGAAAGTTTCCCTTATCCATAATGTTTCTTGCTTACCAACAGGGATTATCAGAACTGAGTAATGCAATGTACAGAACTCATTTATATGAAGTTATTAAGTGACCTCCTGAAAAGTATTCATACATGAATATAAAGTAGCTCCTCAGCTGTAAGCTGGAACTTGCCAACAGCCTTAGTAGCTGGAAAACACAAGGGTTTCACTATTTTAAAGTATTTGAATCACAAGCAGATCAAGTGTGTTGCCAGGCAGGACACTGATACTCTCTATTTCTCATTTCATGAATGAATTATTTATAATCTACACATAAAAAAAACAGGATACAAAAGGAAAGAGAAAGAATTAAGACTCTGTGTTCAGCCTTCATTCACAGTTTCTGTTAGGAAATGCCTAAATGTGTGACCTTTTTACCACGTATTTTGGCAATTTATAACACCAATAATGTTGGAAACCTCCTTAAGCTCTCCTCACTAAGGCCTCCCTACCATTATGTTTGTTAATTCTGGATTGTTTAAGCATTGCCAGGTGGTGCTGTTGGCAAAGTGCACTCTCCAAATGAAGTAACCTATTACATGAGTCCTGCATCCAGTATCTGGATTATGAATGGATTTTATTTGGCAATACCCAAGCATATTCCTGAAAGTAAACATCACCATGGATACAAAAAAATACAAAGATATGTTTTCATAGCAAAGAACTCTGAAACTATTTATCAAATTCAAAGCTCTAAAAAAAAAAATTCCTTCTGTGTACTGTGGAAGAGGTAAAAGAAATTCAATATTCATACACTGCAACTTGGGGAGAAAAAGTTTTGTTCTGTTCCTCTTCGTCTCTAAATGCTTGTTCTGAAGTACATGTATCCATTTCCATAGCAACAGCTCCAATGGGCATGCCTCTGCCTTATAGGTGATATTCACAACTAAACTTTATGCAGTAAATGATGCATGTAAGCTGTTCTAAAAACACCCTAGATCCCATACAATCAGCAATATTTCTTCAGAGGGGTGCTACAATGCCAAAAAAGACTTATCACCTAGACAGATGCGACTTTATCTTCTGAATATTCAAAACCTTCAGTATCAGTGATTAGTAGCTGTCAAAAAATTTAGCAATTATAATCTTTGAGTATAACATATATTTAAAAAATAACCTAAAATATCTCCTTTCAGTACCTGTAAAAAACAAGTGTCTTTTTGTGGTTTCTTTCCTTTTCTCTAAGCAGGGGTTCAAAAGGCGAAGAAGTTGTAATACCCGCTCTTCTCTACGAGACTCTGTCAGGCAAGCATCATTCATTACCAGGTATGGGTAAATCTTTCCGTTATGGCCTCGGATATAGAGTCTTCTTGCTGCAGTATTGTGTTTCTGAACTATCTCCACTCTGGGCATAAACCTATTAGGAAGAAAGGGATAATAAAGCACCTGAGCTAATCTCCTCTAGTATTAAATCAAAAAACAAAAAACACCAAAGAAATAAGGCAGTGCAACTGTGTTGCAAGGTACAATTCTATTGTCCAGCTAGCCCATGGTTTCTATTTTGTAGTCAAAAAGGTCTTCTGTTTGATTTTTGTTTGTTTTTAAGAAAGAGTTCTTGAGCAAAATTAATCATCTGATCAGACCTTTATCACCATTTTGAAGAACAGTACCTGTACTGACTGCAATAAAAGAACTCATTTCAACTTCTATCAATATATGAAGCATACTCATCATATAACAGTACAGTTGCTTAGTGAGGCAGTGTAAAATTATCAGAGGAGGATAAAATAAAGAAAAATAAAGGTGTTACACCAAAGTATGTCTCTATATATGTAATTTATATATACGAAAGGTACGAGACATATACTGTTGCAAAGTGGACAGATGGAGGAGGTTTTAATTTTCTCCTCCATTTTCAGAACTACAACTACCAAAGTGTATTTTTAGGTTACCTTGCTATCTTGATGTAGTAATGTGTTGGCTTTGGCATAAGGAATTCTCCAGGTATCTCTACTTCTGCAGTTTGAGCTGAAAAATTACTCAGAAAGCGGCACTTTTCCTCTATGAGGAAGAACTTTGGAAGCTGCTTAGTTTTTGCCTCCAGAATTTTGATCCATTTCTTCAGCTTAGAGATAAGATTGTGAAGTTTCATTGACCCTGGCACACTGAAGTCAAAGTCTAAAAAAATAAAAACCAAAAAGAAAGTTTATACACATCTCAGCATTTCAAATTCTATATCGGGTATTTAGGTATTTAATGATCAAGCGTCTGAAGTTTGAGATTCCAAAGAGGTTCTTTCAGCTACATGCCCCCAAGCAAAATACACAGTCAGCGCACACACAGCTGTTATGCAGAAAAGCATCACACTGGTGTCGAATACTATAGGAAAAGGGAAAGCTCCTACAATCAGCAAATTACACAAAAAAGGAAAGCATAATACCAAGCAAGTCCAGCAGAAGAACATGGCTACCTATGAACCCTAAACACAGAGAAAAACCAGAAGGTTCAAACACAGATGAGACAGAAAAATCATTAGAGAAGAGTAAGAGCATAACAGCTATAGGATTATACACCAGCAATAACTCTACATCAGCTGATGCTGGAGGAGAATAAATTATATGTTTCAATAGTGCAAATCAAACACACACACAGAACTGTCCTGCCTGGAAAAGACAGGGCTAAGGAATGCTTCATCTCTACAAAAAATCTTTAAGTGATGTTCTAAAATTATATATAACTTAAGCCTGCCTGAATCCGCTACCTCTTTGTGTACACAGCTCTAAAGTATCCTCTGTAATTATTAACTTCCCAAGATTTTTCCTTAGTCATGCGAACATTAGAAAAACATACTGTGAAAGTTCTAAATGCTATCACTGTATTTAACTGTCTGTATACTTCAACCAGAAAGACTGCGTAGAAAGCGAGCAGTAATAAACCAAATGATCAGATCATTTAGTGAAAGAGGAAAAGTAAGCTTATTTCACAGACTAGCACTATAATTTTCAGCCTGTTCCATTCGAAGTGATTTATTTATTTAAAATCAGTGGAAGCTTTTTACTTTTAAAAGGAATGGAAGAGCCCCAAAACTGAGGATACAATGTAGGATCTGCGAGCAACTGAAAGACTAGTAGTACATTTGCTATTACTATTATTCTCCTATTCTGAGCTGCAAGAAAATTCTCCTTATTCTTTCCTGGCTCAGATAACAATTGCATGCCACCACAGGAAGAACAGCTATGACAGCCTAAGCAAAGATGACAATATTATGCAAACAGTCTGCTCTTTCCTTTGCAACGTAACAGTAGTGCAGCGTGGAACTACCTCCTCTAGCCCACATGCAAGTGAAGTAACAGCTTTCTCAAGGCCAACGCATGGTCTTCAATACACTATGCAAATAATTCTGTAACAGAATTCACTGCAATATCAACCATTTTCTGAGCCAGCACCCATGCCACCTTCTCAACACAGCTTTCACTACAGAAGACAGCAAATAAATAAATAATGAAATTATGGCTCAGCACTTCAGTACTGTAACAATGAGAGATGAACCACACTTGGTAAGAAAATCAAGTGCTCTCTCTGTAAACCTCATTAGTTACAGCATCCCAAATTGTGCATGTTCACTAACAGACTTGAATTTTTAAATTTTTAAAATGCATTTCTATACCACAGTCTAAAAGATGCCATTTTAAGCTCAACATGTTACAGGTGAAAAAGCAACAGCAAGAAAGAAACAGAGAATGTTGATTCAGTATTTCTGAGATCTACAGCTAAACCAGAACAGGATCTTCATTATGCTTCAATACAACAGAAAGTTAACGCAGTCTCAGAAATTAATCTGACTCTATGCAGAATCTATGTTTCAGTATGTTACATACATACAATATCTTCCTATATTGACCAAAAAAAACCCAAACAACAGAACAGTCACAAGTCCTGCTCAGAGGACAAATTAATTTGACCACATAAATATGCCCCAAGCATCTATCTGCAAGTATGCTAACAGGGAGTGAAGTACACAGACAGAGCAATTACTGCACAGACGTTTTTTCAACCACAATTAAAACCACTCAAAACTCTGATTACCCACAAGATTTACTCCTACAAACAAGCTTAGAACATTTGGTCTTTTAACCAGAAGAGTTTGTATCATCCTACACATAAACTCTTCTTCTCTAAGTTCTCCTTTATGGGTATAGGATACTATTACTGAATAAACTAGTGCAGCCTATGATTCCTTTCGTTTTACTATTCTGTTACTTAAACAAAATATCAGAGAACACATAACCCAACTTATTTCATTGTGTATCCACAATATACCGATATGCTAAAAGCTTTCAGTGAAAGCCTTAAATCTACTACCCCAAACCAGAGCAAAAAACCCCACACATACCAAATCTTTTCCATTTCTACCAGAAAGAAGTCTATAATGAAAAATTCAGTTCTGTATTTATGGGTGTTAGAAATTAGCATAACTCTGTAATACTCCCTTTTCTTTTTCTACCCGGTAGGGGTATTTGCAGTATCCCTGTAAAACACTGTTATTATAATCCCAAGCCTACCCTCTAGTGAGCAGCAGGAGTAAATCATTTCATGAAAGTGGCAAAATTATTGAATCATTTATCTCCTGAATCTCTGAAGTTCAGGAAGATATCCCCAAATTGCAACTAGTTGCTGTGCTAATGGGAACCACCAAAGTAGTAAAACTATGCATCAATATATGCCTTAAAAAAAGAAAATAGAAAAAGAGCCACTGAGTTCACCATGAGAACAGTTCCAGTGTGTTGAAATGCCTGTTCTAGGATTTTTGTTTGTTGTTTTGTTTCCCAGTAGCAGATGGGAAAAACAGAGTTCAATTAGTCTTTTTGCTCATGTCACAGAGATCCCATCTGAGAAGAAAAATCATTTCAGCTGCAAGGGAAATACAAGACTAGACATTACCTGTGTATGTGTCTCTCTGCTTTACATGTATCTTAATGTATATAAATAGCATTTTTGTTTCAAACAGAACCATTTTTTCAGTACTTACTACTGGACAACACCTTCCTCAAGCTAACACATGATGGTCTAAAACACCCTACTACTCACATCATCTTTTTCCTAAAGAAAACAGGGAGTTTACCTCCTCATCTTTAATGGAGATATTCACAGAAGACCACAATACAGACTGCAACTGAAGAACCTCACTCTCTGTTCTCAATGCTGCTAAAGATTCTTGTCACCCTCAATGAAAGGACAAACGGGGCACAATCTTCCTGACAGTAAGAGACCTAAAAATTCTGATGGTTCTTAACACAACTAGATAAAGCTGACTGCTTTTGGAATGAGGGCTGTACCATCACTTTTCATGAAGTAGCACAAAAAGAAAAATATGCTTGAGTTAGTAAAATTGAAGTACCAATCCCTCTGTCCCCCCAAAACCCCTGACCTACATAATGACCAACATTAATATAGCATTAAAGAAACAAAGAGAATACCTACAAAGACTTAAAAACAACCAAAAAACAACCAAAAAAAAACCCCAAAAACAAGCCTTCTGCTACACTTGCAGAAAATAGTCCTAATCAGCTCAAAGTAACAGGCAATTAATGCTTTTAGAGCAAGCAACAGTTCATTTGCAAGATTTTAAAGATTATTCTGACCATACACAATGTCTGATTACACTTAAAAGTTGATAACCCAGGGACCCTCAACTGAAAAGCCAAGATACCCACCATGTAAGATGCCACTTAAGACTGAAATCACACAGCAGTTCGTTAGGCATATGATACTGAAGAAGATCCAAGCATTCTCCAAGAGGGAAGAGCTCTCTTGCTTTTAAAGTTATCATTCAGACATTTATATACTCTCTACTTTCCCAGAGGTCCATTTTAATCACACAAAAACTTTTGGAAAGCATCAACAAACACGAAAAATCTCAGTGACAAGTAAGTTGAAATATGAAGCAGGACTTCTGGTAGCTCCAAAAAATTAAGACTGGTAAGACCAGAGGAAGGTCAAATGTGTTATTAACTCCAAACTCTTGATCTGGATTTTCCGGATAACATCCTGTTATCTAAAAATTAGAAGGGTAGTAAAGAAAGAGCTACCAAAGTGATGCTATGCTCATCCTTGAGAAAAGGAAAAAAATGACTAAAATAGCTGAGAATTTTTAACAGAGCTCTTTCCCCTGCCCTCTCCCCACATTTCAGAGACACGCTCAGACATTGAGAGGATTCCTTCTGATTACAGAGTTTCCATCCACACATCCCATTGTGCTGGGTGGCAAAACTCTTAAGAAAATTATCTCGCCCATTCAGGGTATACTTTGGAATTTTCCATTCCTATTCAGCTTGAGTGAAGAAATGGTTGCAGAAAGAAGCCGATCCAAACTCTAAACTATCATATGTCGACAAAAGAACAATGGAGGCAGTTTTTCTCCTCCTTTCACTGCTGAGAAAGCTCTCAAAGGGAGCATTTCTCAGCATTTTTCTGTTCTTTGATGTCAAAGGTTTAGCAGGAAAGGAGAGAAGGAACAAAGAACAGATGGTCAAAGAGCCATGCATTTGAAGTTCCAGTAAAAAAATTATTTCAAAGTAAAATTTGGTTTTGAAATATATAACATTAGGATGGAAAAAAATGACCTATCAAAGCTTCAATGGTCCAGACTGCTGCAGATGAATATTTAGAATGTAAGAAATGGTATGAGAGCCCCCAGTGGCTCCAAACAGGAATCAAGACGCAACTCAGATGTTGATGGAAATGATTATGCAACCAAACATAGTTGAAAGTGTCTATAAAACATAGCTGCCAACATTAATCTGGAAATAATTGAAGACAAAGAGTTTACTCCAAGACAGCTCCTCAGCTTGGATACTTTTGAAATGGAAGGCAGCCACTGTAATTATCTGTCCATCATCTAAATGCAACCAGTGCTGAGAAGCAGAAAAACAAACATGAACCTTGTAGCGTGACAAAAGGACAAAGTAGGCACAATTTACAAATGGTTTCCCATAATGCTAAAGCAGCCTTTGCTATCTTCAGTACAGTAATTACAATCCTATTCATTTATTTATGTGCATTTTACTGTTACTACAAAATTAATAAAAAACGTATTTTCATTTTCTGCATAATGAATTAAATTACAAAAATGTGGAAGTATATTGATCAGTTTCATTTCTTGTTTTCCCACACTTCATTTGTGAATTAAACCACTGAATTTATTAATTAAATCAAATCTAGCACTAAGCAAAGTAATTATTTCAATCCCATAGACATTCATGTTTAATCAGACTTTCACATATGAACTCTTCAACAAAAAAACTAATTACTTGTTATAAACTGAAGTTTACCGAGACACACACTGCATTTGATGATTTTACATGATTTTAATGTCCAGGCCTATGTTGTTGTTCTATGTTTTATATGTCATTCTATAGGCATTTAGATAGCAAACCTGAAAACCTTACCTGTCATTCGGGTATCATAAACACATGCAAAGATTATACATCAGCATGTAAAACTTGAAAATCCTCTCCATTTTTTGTTTTAACCAAAGATTGTAACTGAATTGTAATTTAAGTTTCTTAATCCCTAGATCTCTCTAGCACTCACAGGAAAGAAACTATGGCAGACCAAAAATAACTTAAATCCAACAAAACCTGAGCATATCAACAACACTTACAGCAATAACAAATTGACTGTACTACTATTGCAGTGTAAAGACACATAACCCATTACTAAAAATGAAAAACTAGTCCAAATCTATTTCATGTAGAATATTTCAGTTGCAAGGGAGCTACAGTGATCATCTAGTCCAACTACCTGACCACTGACCAATGGAGGGCTGACCAGAAGTTAATGCATGTTATTAAGGGCATTGTCCAAATGCCTCTTAAACACTGACAGGAATGGGGCATTGACCACTTCTCCAGGAAGCCTGTTCCAGTGTCTGACCACCCTCTTGGTAATGAATGCTTCCTAATGTCCAGTCTGAACCTCCCCTGGTGCAGCTTTGAACCATTCCCACGCATCCTATCACTGGATCCCAGGGAGATCAGCATTTCCTTCACTTCCTCTCCTCAGGCAGCTGTGGAGGGCAGCGAGGTTGTCCCTCAGCCTCCTTTTCTCCAAACTAGGTAAGCCTAAGTCCTCAGCTGCTCCTCACAGGACATGGCTTCCAGCCCTTTCACCGGGTTTACTGCCCTCCCTTGGACACATTCAAGTACCTTCTCATCCTTCTTAACCTGTGAGGCCCAGAACTGCATGTGAGGCCGCACCACAGCTGAACACAGCAGGATGATCACCTCTTGACCACTGGTTATACTGTTTGATGCACCCCACGGTGTGGTTTGCCCTCTGGGCTGCCAGGGCAGGCTGCTGACTCCCACTGAGCCTGCTCTCAACCAGCATGCCCAGATCCCTTTCTGCAGGGCTGCTCTCCAGCCACTCCTCTCCCAGTCTATACGTGTGCCCAGCATTACTCCATCCTAGATACAGAATCTGGCACCTGAACCTGTTAATGTTTATGCCATTAATCATTGTCCAGTGATTCTTTCCCTCCCCACCCCCATATGCTCCCATTAAAGACAAGCAGAATGTTTCTACTTCCATTTCACTCCCTAGTACGCTTCATCCATTAAAAATTTAATCATATGGTTCAGGACTTTCATTATCTGCTGTCATGCAACTGTTGTGCCTCAAAAAGGACATCATGCAATACATAGCGTGCACAAGATATGTAGGTCACATCTGCAACTGAGTTGCTTTCACAAGATTCCCATCAGCTCACTTATTTTCACAACATTATCAGTGAAATGCCTGAAAAATCACTGCAAGTCTACTTGTCAAACTCAGTCAACTAGTTATGTTTAAGGAAAAGCTGATGTAGTTTAGAGAGGAATTTATGCAAAATTCAAAATTCTGGCAATCCAAAACACTGATGCCAATCAGTGTCACCTTCTGTCATATACAGTTGTGCAGCCTTAACACTTTTCACCAAATGTATCAAAACCATGCTTGACTGTACACAAGCTTCTGTAAGAATTTTAAATCAACATCAGATACTCACACATGTAACTCCACAGATAGAACAAATGAAGCAAAAAAAGCCACTTCCCCTAAGTAGCTTTTTTATTAGATCTGATTAAAGTTATTGATTCAATTTACCTAACAATGATGTAAATTCGTGTAATAGGATTTTTATAATCTAGTTATCCAAAACACTAAAGTCATCTTCCTCATCAAAAGTAAGCTGTTTTGAAAGACTTTGCATAATATTGTCAATTTGGAGTTCTGACATCACCGTAAAATAGAAATAATTATTGTCCCTTACGTGTAGCAGGCAGTTCTATGCAAATGGCAAAAATACTACAGGGGACTAATCTAATTTACCTTTAAACACATACGTGATTTGACCACAGTTTCGGGTTTGGTGAATGACAGAAGGATATTCCATTCTATATTCTTTCTCAGGAAAAATATTGGAAGAACAGAAAAGCAGAATGCCTTCACAGCTGAACTTTGGTGAAGGAGCGGGGAGTGGAATTTCTCTGGGGATTAAAAGTAACATTTAATAAAACAATTTAAACATTTACCTGTTGTAAATTGCCCTTTTAACTTCTGGAACACGGGATCTTGAGCTGTTGCCTGTGCTCTCCTAGCTAGTGACTCTGAGGCTGCACTAGAAAACATGGTGGACACATTAGAGACATTCTCAAGACCTACTCCAAAGGTGCTGACTAACTTCTTGACAAAATTTAGTGTATGAGGAGTGATTTTGGCATCTGAAACGGCTCCACTTTTCTCAAAGGCAACTGAATAGCACTTCGCCAAGCCCTGCTGCAGTTGTCTAAGAACCTAAGGATTAAAAAAGACAAAACAGTCAGGAATATTGGGCCTTCTGATCTGACACTGCATTTTATACAGTAAAGTTATCCTCTCAGAAACATTTATTTAAAACTCTGTTTTTAGATTGCACCAGAGGGTCAGTCAGAATGACAGAGCTGATTCTTATCAGCATTGCAAGCAAACTGAGCAGTGGAAACGCTGCATCACAAAGTACACTTTCAACAGCAGCTGAGCTTTAGATTTCATACTTTGTGATATATTAGAAAATGATGTGTTATTTTTCAAACAAACACTGTGCTAGGTAGACAGAACAGAGTAGCCGGACACTTTGAGAGGCAAATAATGAAAGCAGAGTGGCTCCTCCATCTGCTCCTGATATAATTCAAAATTCAGACAATAATCACCACCTGCCACAGACACCAGAAGGAGACAGAAACTGGTAACCGTGAAACTTAATGTAAGAATATAAATTTTCAGTTAGTACAAGCAACAGCTTGAATCCCAGTGGCATCCATCAAATGTGTAGTTTAGGGAAACCTCTGTATTGCTTCCAGAAATAACTAACCTCCTTAAAACTCCAATCAGAACAATCAGTTTTACATATACACCAGTTTAGTAATCAAAACAAACAGTTATGTTTAAATGTTTAAAATAATTCTAGGTAACTGCTTTGTAGTTAACTTTTCCTTAGATGTTACATACATATGAAGGTGTATTAAAGCCAAATACCTCTTCGTGCCAATTCTCTCTGAACCAGACCATCTGATCTACAATGCCTTCCAGAGATGACAAAAGCGTTGGATGCAATTCCCGCTGCATGTGCATAATTCTGCTGCATCGCCACATTGGTGCAGTGGCTCTGATTGGCCCAGGATCTGAGGCAGAGTGGGACTGATTTCCAACTGAACTTGGCTGTTGTTGCCCAGAATCTGGAAAGTGAAAAATTAAGAAAAAAATAAAAATTACTTTTCATAAACTTGATACATGCATGAAATAAAATAAATTGTTTGAGGAATTTGCTTTCAATTTGCATGAAGTATTAATCATGTATTACCTACTGAAATTGAGAAAATTTGTGTCTTACAAAGAAAACTCTACTCCAAATACTATTCAGTGGAACATACTTCCTAAAGCTACAGCAATATAAACTCTTCAGAAACACACAGGAGGCATAGCCTTAGCTTTTACATTATCAAGCCATGCTCTTGAGGTAACTAACATTGTTTCATATACAATCAAATTATTTAAACCATGGGGTTTTCCTCCCCTCTCTTTTGTGGAGATCTTTCATACATAACTGAAGAACAGACATGCCCAGTGCCAACAAAACACAAAGTGCCATAGAGTGCATCGTTTAGTACAATTGATTTCTTCCATTACAACTACAACAGACAGTGATTAAACAGAGTTTTGCTTTATCAGATGACCACACACACACAATACTTCACACAACCCAACAGAACAGAATAGTAGCTTGTGGCAGTGCCTGTAGGAAGATATTTTACTGGTTATTACTGAATATGCATGTGGCAATATCAAGAACTTGGCCCAGAAACCTCTGTTGCTGGATATGAATGTAGTGAAGTATCATGGCATGTGAGCATGTCCTCCTCCTCCAAAGGAGCACCCAAACAAAAATAAGACAGTGGTTTATTATTTAATTTATAAGACACTTCAGAATTTTAAGCAGACATTTAGTGAACTGATTCCCAAATGAAAAGGACAACTAAGCGAACAATGCAGTTTGTAACAAAGAATAGAGAACAGAAGGGAGAGTTGTTCCAAGTTGTTCTCCTGGGATTCCCAGGAAATTGTATGGGACGAAAGAACAATTAAATTCTGAGCAATCATTTGACATAACAATTCTAAACAGGATTTAGTTTTAGGAAAAAAAAAAAAAAAAAATATCTTACTCATGTACATCATTGTGCAACTTGCTTCTCTTCTCCCATCTCCCAGACATTCCTTCAAAGCCTAAACTGATTTTATTTCATGTACACTTAAATGTTCATTTTACTTGAAGATTCACTGTAAGAAGTTATTATGGAGACACCGAAGTACAGATTATTCAAGGAAAGCAGTTTATCTCACCCGAGTTACATGAACTCATCTTTTGTTAAATTATTACTAAAACCTTGACTCATTGGAAAAGAAACTGAATGTTGCATGGTTCATGCTTGTAATCAAAATTAGCCTAGAACATTCTAGAAAACTATGATGCCTTTCTGTATTTGTAATCCAAGAATTTTCTACCTGTCCACTAATTTCTAAAGATAAAAATCCCATAAAGAACATGTGATACTCAATAAGGTAATATGAGAACAAGGGAGACGAAACTCTTCTTTGTATTTTATTCGAGAAAATTCAAGACAGCTCAAGCCATCTGTAGATTTAGTTTTACAGAAATGAATGCAAATGAATGCAAAGAAAGTTTATCAAGAACTCTTTTCCTTAGACTTGATAAACTGGTATGTTTTCTAGAGAATCCGTTTTCCCAGTACGATCAGGTGAAGCTCAAACCAGTAAGTTACAAAGAACCCAAACAATTTGATCATTATTAAGCTCACCGCTTTTGTAGCGCTCTCGTTGTTCTATCTTCAAGGTCAAATAGAGGGTCCTGATAGGGAAGTAGACAGCTTGGGGATAGACTCTTCCCACCTATTTGGAGATACACATATACATATTTCCCAGTTAGGGACTCTAGATCAGCTCCACACATACAGATTTGCTCTATAAACAAGAGCAACTCAGTAACAATCAGCTCCTTCTTTTAAATAACAGCTTATGGAAAACCAGGAAATATTTTCAGTAACAGAAACCTGAAGAGGATGAAACAGTAACTCCCTACACACAACTGTTAAGGCATTACCTTATCAGGGCTTCCAGATCATATTGCCTAATAAACCTGGAAATAGACAGAGTGCCAGCTGGGCCAGCTCAAAGATCTTACTCCCATACATAATGGAAGAAAACCAGACATAATGACAGTGGTTAATCTTTAAATTAGGCCACAATTCCCAGCAAGCCCTGTGACACTTGATAAGAAGACCCATTAGAGTAACTTTACTCCACCTAATTATGGCACTTAATGTAAGGGTATACCAATTTCACCCCAAAATAAAAGCTTTTGTGGCTTCCATTAAAAAAAAAACAAAAAAAACAACCCCAAACAAAACCCACAGTAAAACCTAGAGAGATCTTAACATTCAGCATCCCTTTTAAAATCTGTAGATCTCAGTATCTAGTGAAGGAAAGAAGCAATATGTCAAAGTACCACCCACAATAGAGCACATCTTAAGACGTGATTACAGGCTTCTCTAGCCACACTTTTCCTAAATCATGGATTCTTTCTCTATCCAAGTGGGTATGGTAAGTGGTAGAAATTTTGCAATGGCATTTAAGTGTTCAGTAATACGATATTTATGGCAGATTGCTATCCTGACACACATATGCCTCATGCTGCAATTCAAGAGTAAATTGTTTGCAGGCAATTCTAAGGTTTAGGTTCTAGTATTTTTTCAAACTAAGAGTTTTAAGTCAGTAACACAGAGAATTTTGTATTTTTGTTTTATATTCCCTCTATGGACCTGAAGTTTAAAGGCAAGATAAACAAAAATATCTCTGATATTTATGAGCTCCAACTACAGTCAGACTTGCGAGCAGGCACTCACTTCTAAAAACTTTCATACACCACGTCAACAAATAACAACTCACAAATAAGTTTCTTCTGTCCACTGTCAGAAGACAGCTTAGCACAGTGTTGGTGTCAGACAATAGAGGTCATATGCATGACAGATTTTGCCTTAATTCCTTTGTTTTCTTAAGCTGTTTGAGTGCATGGACTGTTCCAAGTTTTGTTTTCATTTTATGTAGGGAGAGGGAAGGAAACACATACACAGATGCACACACATACTTATCTAGAGTTGGGTATCAATGTACATGCAAGCACACTTGGACATGTGCTCTCTCTACAAAAATACACATTCTCAGAGCTTTGAAAGAGCAAAGATAAGGGATAGTGCAAAAGGAGCTGGCTATCACATATTCACAGAATATCCTGGGTTGGAAAGCACCCACACGGATCATCAAGTCCGTATCTCAAAAATCAACAACACGACTGCTACGAGAAATTCAGCACAACAGTTGTTCTTTGCCAGTTTTCAGGAAACACTGGAGCATTGCAGATAGAAGTGGCCTGGGGCACAGGCTATTGTAAGAGCTTCCCATGTAGAGTAATAGGACTTCACAATTGTTTTATATTAACCTGAATGAACAAACATCAAAATGCTTCCAGGTTGTACATAAGCTAAAACAGAGCTGAAATTAGACCATGAACAGTTAACATCTCTGAAAACACAATGTTTGAACCCCATTCACAGTAAGCAATAACAAAACACTATCTAAAAGCACATTAACAGAAAGATGTCACTTATTCTCCCTTAGCCTATAGACATGCTTAAACCAGCTTTACACTGAGATACCGGCCTATGTCCTACTCTTAGATTCTGCCTCAGAACAGTCAGCAACAGGCAGTAAAATCTTGAAATCCCAAAGCAAGATTAATCCAAACTCGTATCTGTCAGTTCAAAGGTACACATCCAGGAAGTCAGCTTCTTCATATAACTCCCTAAACCTCACCCTTATTTGTCTAATCATTTGTCATGCTAAACTTCAAGTGAAAACGTACAAAGCCCTGGTAATGATTTCTGATGGTGACAGAGCTTTGCTTTCTGAAAGTCAACTCTAGTAAAAACCAAAGCACTAATGAAATAGTTTGCCTTTTAGTCACTGAAAGCTAACAATTCTTTATCACTACTCCTACGTTACAAGCACTTAACTATATATTTCTAAATGTGTTCTATAATGTTCATCACAAAACTGCAGTAAATATGATTCCAGAGGGAAAGCTATAATGCCTCATGCACATATGGCATTCAATTTCACTGGATTTAATTTCATTAAGTAAGACTCACTTTGTAATTTAAAATATTCTACTTGCAGAGACAAATTACCATTTTTTCACTCATCAACACTTGCAAAAAATAGCATTTTTAAGGCTTGGTATTTTCTTAATTTGCTTTGAAATATATTTGTATCTCATCTTGAAAACAGGTATTACAGACAATAAGAAAGTTCATTATTATCTTTTGTACCTGACTAATGAGGTTCAGAAGGAGTTTGCCCTCTGAGCCAACCAGGCATGTCAGCAGCTGTGGAATCCAGGCCAACCACTGAATAGGTGGGACACCAATACAGTACTTGTCTACCGCATCTGCTAAGGTGTTCTTATCATCATCAAAACTCAGGAGCCAAAGAACCTAAAAGAGGATTTCAAGATGACATCCCAGCACTTAAATTCAAGACACATCAATCATTATGTTATAAAAAAAACCCCCCATAGATATATTAATATGACAGTGGAGTTCTCGTACGCGTTGAAGTTGCCTTGGACGCAAGAACTTCCTGGCCAATGTAATTTTTTCCCTTAGAAATAATATTTAAAGCATGTAAAAAAATAAATGCAAGTGTACTACTTGCTATGAAACAAGAAAGAGCAATACTGCATTCCACAGATTCTTTGGGTTTTGCTTTGGGGGTGGGTGGGTAGAAAATGAGGCATATTTATAGAACCTAAAATATGCTATTGAAATAAATTAGCTTCAATGCAAGAACTTGAGTATTTCTTTGGGTGTTTTTAACTATTTTAATGTCCATCCCAAGAATACTTTTCCTACAGTTTAATTTAAAAGAAAATATATTAAGCACTGACTAAAAATCATGAGCAGTTATGTGACCAGAAAGGGAGAATAATAACCTTCAGAGTGGTATAAGCCCAACTTTAATTTAAAAAGAAAAATACTTTCTGTGTTTGTTTCATGTTCAAAACAGATTGCCTTCCACAGTCTGTTTTCATTTCTTAAATTCTCTTCATGAGAGAGATTAAATATCCCCAAACTGAGAAAGACACAGAGCTTGTTTTGGGTGAAATATTTTTGAATTACAAGTAAAAATTTACAGAAAAGGCTTATTTGGAATAATTTTCAATACTGAGATAAAAGTTAATATGAATTATCCATAGTAATGATAAATAGACATAAAACTATGGCACTTTTTAAAGGACCGAAGAAGGCCTTTCTGCAAATATTTTACCACATTATATAGTACAAATGCTGGATGCAATTTGTTCCCTTTCTCTCACAAAAGGTTCCATACCTAAATAAAACCCCAGATATCCCAATGAAGTAGAAAAACCCAAGAAGAGTTACATGCAGTGACCCGAGAGCAACCATATGCAGATTTTTCTGCCTAAATTAAAGCCTTCCATCAGTAACTTGTGTATCTTTAATTTCACAAATCTGGGCATTGAACATTATCCCAGCCTTTTTCTGAGGGCGTGCAGCTCCAATTCTTTTTTTCAACATCTAGATCTTACCTTTGCTAAGTACTTTCTTGATTTGCTCTCATTCTGATGACGACAGGCATGCAGGTAGCAAGTAATAGCAGAGACACCCAGGTGAAGCTGACGTTCTTTCACAAAGATATTCTCCAGGTAATCACCCCACATTGCCCACGCTTTCACAAGCACATCATGCATTTGCACAGCTGCAGAAAAAGCTTTGTTTGCTTCTTCAGACCTGCATCGTGACAAGGAAGAATAGTTTTATACTAACAAAAAGTTACTAAATTATGTAAGTCAAATTTCTGATAGGGTACTCAATTACTTTCCTAATGATATTTTCACATTAAGTTCTCTAGTAAGGTCCCTTATGTCTTTTTTGTCTTAGCTTTCCTTAAAGTTCGACACCTATGAAAGTAAATGCTTCAGAATGAAAACACTTTATAAGCATTTAAGATCTCTAGATACTCCCTGAAACAAGTCTGAAAAACTTCCAGTGCACTGCGATTGCAACCCAAGCAATGACACTGGAGAAAGAAGAATGAATGGTAACACAAAAAAATGCGCTTCTCTGCTGAGCAAACAAGTAGGAAAAACCAAGATGGGAAGATGTTACATTAACTATCTTTTCACCTTATTTAACCACTCTCCCATCAAAGCCATGAAAAGATTTACAATCAACATGATCTGGAAAAAGTCATTTCCTCATCCCCACATCTTTAAGAGTTTATTTTTCAACAGGAAAAATGAAGAAATATGAAGGTTAATCACATAGTTCTTGGTAACCAAGAGATTATTTGTTTGATACTTCCAATGCCTTCAGGTTTCCTCAAGTGTTCCTAGTCCAAGGTTTGGCATAATTCATCCCTATGTATGTATATAGCCCTTAAACACATGTAACTTTTCAGGCATAACGATAAAGGATGAGAACACTATCACACACATTACTGAAATTGAGAACCCTTTAAAGCATTCCAAGATCAATTATTACTAGAAAGTGCTTCATTTCTCCCTTTCAGAATGAGCATTGAAATAAACCATGCAAAAGTAATACAATGCTTGTCTGACTGATTTTTAGAAATTAACTGGAATATTTTTTTTATATAAAAATATTAGCTTGGAGGATTATAGTGATAAATTAAAAAGAGTAGCTATTGAGGCAAAGCCACAAAAAGGAAAGCAACTTTGTCAAAGTTTCTATTACTTTCTGTTATACTAATGTTATTGGCTTTCAGAGGCTTTCTGTACCCTAGATCGAGGTTCTGAAGTGAACTACCACAGCAACAGCCTGATAGATGACTTTGTATCACTACCTCCCCTTTACAAAAAGGGGACTTTTCAGCAGGTTTTCTTTTCTCCTTCTCTACAATTCATCATTCTTGACACCTGAGCTGACTTTTTAAAAATGCTTTCTATCACCTGGCTCAGCAAATGGGCAGCGCAGGGAGATGAAAGAGCAAAGGTGACCTTTAACTTCCACTTCAGTTGACACACAGGTAATCGGTAGTCACACATTCTCAAGTTCAACACTGCCATTGGTCCTAACTGTAACCTTCCTAAATTCCTGACCTCAACCGCAGTGCTAAAAATGCCTGTATGGTTTTGGATAAGGTTAAGAAACCGTAAGTACATCAAAACCGTGTTTTAAACAGAAACCTTTATCCATTCTACCCTGAAAGAACAAATAGAGACAGTTTAACTGCCTTTTATTTTATCTGCATGAATTAAAATTCTAAAAGATGAGGAGGGGGGTACCCTTTCTTCTCTTTCAGCTCAACTGGAACTAAGCATCCTTATGGCCATAAAAAAAGCCCACTGCACTTTCCATCAAAGTAACTGCATTCTGCCTATTTAAAATTCTCTCTTGTATCCACAGAAGAAGGTATTCATCATTTCCTGACTTGAAATGCTGTGTGAGGTTGCAGCGTACAGCTTAAAACCTGATGGATTTCATTCCGTAAGTGTCCACAATTGTAGTGGTAAAGGAATTATTCTACCCATACAAAACATGTAGCACTACTGCTACATGCCATGCATACTAAAAGCTGTTGAAATCTGAAAGGTTTTTTTGGCATCATCAAACAAAATCTGATTGCTGAAATATCTGTTTACTGAATTCAAGAGGGATGTTCTTCAAATAATAAAATGCTGGACAGCACAAAGGAAAAATCTTACAAAAGTAGATGTGTGAAAGCAAGGCTTGCACCTACGTGTTTGATTGCTGCAATGCAAGATGTCTCCAAAGCACACCACATTAGTCATTTCAATTCAATTATCTGAAATGAGTGTGGCATTACCATACTGCATCACACACCAGATTTGTCTGAATACTTTGAACTATGCCACCACACATTTTCCTATGCCTTAACCAGTTGCAGTTATTGAAGAGATATATACAATGACAATGACACAGAAGTGACAGAAACAAAGAGGTAGGCTAATTTTCTTTAAGTACCTGTAAGCTTATACACTGAATTTTTTTTCCTTGGTTTTATATATGATATTTACATTAAAAATGTAATTAAAACAACCTCCTTTGTCAACTACACTAAGACATCAGTTAGACATCAGGTTGCTAAATACTCATATAACCAGGGAGGGAAAAGTATTTAAAACATTGTTGTGGTTTAAGCCCAGCCGGTAACTTGGAACCACACAGCGCTCGCTCACTCTCCACCTTCTTCCTCCCCCCGATCCCACAGGGATGGGGAGGAGAATTGGAGGAATGTAACTCCCATGGGTTGAGATAACAGCACTCCAGTAACTAAGGTATAATACAAACCACTACTGCTACCACCAGTGATAAAAATGATAAGGGAAATAACAAGGGGAGAGGACGCAACCACTCATCACCCGCCGACTGATACCCAGCCTGACCTGAGCAGCGATCTGGGCCTTTCAGGTAACTCCCCTCAGTTTATATACTGGGCATGACGTGCTATGGTATGGAATACTCCTTTGGCCAGTTTGGGTCAGGCGTCCTGTCTCTGCTTCCTCCTGGCTTCCTCTCCTCCCTGGCAGAGCATGAGACTGAGAAAGTTCTTGGTCGGAGTAAACATTACTGAGCGACAACTAAAACCATCGGTGTTATCAGCGTTGTTCCCAGACTGAAAGTCAAAAACACAGCTCTGCACCAGCTACTAAGAAGGAGACTGCCACAGCTGAACCCAGGACAAACATGTATCTTCCGCTGCAAAGCTTTGGACAAGCCTGTTCTCCCTGCCTCTTCCCTTCTCACCCCTTGAAACAGAAAACTTTTAGAAAGAACTAGTGCACTGTTTGCTTTAACTAGTTCTTTCCACTTAGAAATATGACCAACCATTACATCGTCAAGCTGCAACGAACTCTCATCTAAACTTTTACTTTCTTATACAGTTGTGACAAATTTTAGGCTGGTATAAACATATGGAACAACTTTTCTGCTCAAATACTGTGTTGAAATACTTCAGCTGCATTTTTCTCTGATGTGTGCTAATGCCTCTTCCAGCCAACATACTTACTTGTTAATCTGTGCCAAGAACATTCCCTTCAATGCATAAAACTCGGCAGTCATCTCCTTGGTGAAGTACTTCAGATTGGTTGATTCAATAACTTCGAGACCCTGTTAAATATATAAGCCTTAGTGAGAAAAGCCTTCTAAAATGGAAGGTTTTAAGATGAAAGTGCCATAAAACAACAGCCAACACATTCTCTTGAAGTTTAAATAGCATGAGTTTCTAGCATTTAATTTTCATCTTAAAAAATCTGGACTGGCAACAGTTTTAAGTTTCCACTGGCCTATGCAAAACTATTAGATGCTATAGACAACATTCATGAAGTGATGGGTTATCTTTTCCATCTTGTCCTTTTTTTATATTATTATATATATTATGTTATATTACATTATTATTACAAGGTCCCAGCTTGCCAACCTTGTAATCATATGTCAGTGAGGTTTGCTTAAAATCACATTTTTTCCTTTCCTTTTATGACATTCCATTTCACTTCAGGTTGCCCGTATCCATCGCTCATAAGTCAGACACTTAAGACTGACTTAGAGCTCCAGTTAATCTTGCAGTAGTGTTGCTTCTTCCTATTGCAAATCACGTATTTTTCAAAGTCTCTTCCATTTATTTATCTTGTAAGATCTCAAAAAACACATTTCCACTTTACTTTCTATTCAGCTAATTTTTAATATAGCCACAGTATTCTGCTTAAAGAGGATAATGCCTAGTTTTGACTAACTGTATGACTTAAACCAACACTCCATGCATAGGTATAACATGGCCACCAAAGTTCAGACCCTGTTCTGTATACAGGCAATTTATTTAAATCAATGTATCTGATGGCCCTTGTAATCTTCCAAGTCACAACAACAACTTCAGAGATAAAGCCACCATACCTGCATACACTCATTTTTGCCCATCACTCCAGCCAGCTGAAGGTAACATTTAACTTGCTGGCGAATCTTCTGAAAGCAGTCCACAATGGGCACAGTTGGAATTGTATGAATGCGACTCAGTATATCCAGAGCTACGTTGACCAGCCCTTGCTTTCGAGCTATCTTTCCATATTGGATAATTGCCGATGCAGAAGCATGGACTCCCAACATAGCATTATTGGAACTAGGATCATGCTGCGAACTGTTTTCATATGCAGTTACAATGGCTAGAAACAAAACATGAAACGTCAGTCATTACAAATGAAATTATATATACAGCAATATCTTACACAGCAATACATATGAAAGGATGACTTAAGATAATGAAACACTTAAATGGAAATTGAATAAAAACAAACACTTGGAAAAAAAACCAACATTCCTGTATGTTTAAATAACTATTAAAAAAATATACAAAGAACTTATTTCAAACAATGTGTTGTCTGGAAAATTACATGATGAATGCATGCTGGACCAGGCAGTTTTACCCTGGTAATGATGTTGTCTCCACATGAAAATGCTGCTCCAGTGGGATAAATCATCTGACACAATAGGTAACCTGTTCCTCCAAGTCTTTACAACAGTCTTCATATCATGTAAGCTGTTGTTCCTCCCCAGATTAGTTGGTTGCAATCCTGCATTTATTTGGGCTGCTTCTTGAAGTTCGATTATTTGTTGTGCTGCCTAGAAAACATTAAACAGTATCAGTATCATAGAAGATAGTACAATGGCCAATTTCACTGTTAGAGAAAGGTCTCTATGAATGATGCCACCTTAAAATGATTAACTAAAGATGAAATTATTTATGCTGTTTTAGTGACCTGTCTATTAGCTGCATAAATGGCCTATAACTAACCTAATCATCAACAAAATAGCAAAACAATCCATGAGTTTAACTAGTCTTGATACTACTATTCCTTGATAGTATTCAGATGAAAATTCCCTAATCCTTTATTTTGAACTGCAAGTTATTCTTCAGACGGCAGTGTTTTGCTTTTAAGAAAAAACAAGCCAAACCAACTAAAACTACGCCAAATGAGAAAGTTTACTGGAATCTACACTTTCTCTTCATCTCCATCCTTTTCCCCACACACATCTACATAAAACCATAGGTTAGAATTAAATTCTATCACATAGGTTTGAACTTACATCAACCCTAATCACAGAATAGCACAAGTAAATATATATGCAGTCTGCTAAATACAAGAATCAAGTATAAATACTGACCTTAAACAAAAACTTTTAACAGAACTTCCTAGTATAAATTCCCTGCTCGTGTCCTGACTTCTTGATGGAAAATTCTCTCATAGAATGAATCATAGAACCACAGAATGGTTTGGGTTGGAAGGGGTCTTAAAAGCTCATCTAGTTCCAAAGTCCTGCCACCTTCCACTATACCAGGTTGCTCCAAGCCCCATCCAACCTGGCCTTGAACACTTCTCAGGGATGGGGCAACCACAACCTCTCTGGGCAACCTGGTTCAGTGCCTCACCATTTAAAGCCATGCCCTCATGTCCAATTACTACTTGCCCTTGTCAAAAACCCCTCTCCAGTTTTCTTGTTGGCCCCTTTAGGCACTGGAAGCTGCTCTAAGGTCTCCCTGGAACTTTTTCTTCTCCAGGCTGAACAAGCCAAACTCTCTCAGCCTGTCTTCATTTAACTTGAATGTGCATAAATATTATCTATGTGCTCCTGAAGGTGTTATTTTAAGATACTTTGCAAAAATCTTAGCTTTGAGAGGTTACTTAAGTTCAGAATAGTTTTTCACTGACATCTCCTATCCTCAAATTAGTAAGAGGACCAAACAGAAGATGGCAGTAGTCTCAAACCTACTAAAGGCAGCAGACATTTTGTTAAAACTTCAATAACCTGAAAAGGCCCACAAACTTTAATGGAATTTAATTACCTGTAGTACAATAAAACCAATGTGGTATTCTCCAAGCTACCACTTGGCAGATAACAATTGCATTCACTGTTAATCAACCAAATAAGATAACTATTCGGGGGGGAAGGAGCAAAAAAAGGCAGTCCAAATTGACAGAGTGAAATCTCTTGAAACAAAGTAAATTACACAAAGTATTATTTTCCTACAATCATCTTGGTATCAGCTCTCACAATAGCTTAACCTTCATCCCACACCCATTCATCACGTAAATTTAATTTTCTCATGGGTATTTAATCACATACTATCTGATATTAAAAAAAAAAGTAATTGCAGCACAAATTCATACATTGGTACCTCTGTCAGTCATGGACTAATTTATCATTTCTTCATGAGGGATATACACATATTAGATTATTTTAAAAGCTTGATTTAATTGATACCTGAAAGCATTTATATACTTTATTTAGCAATACTAATCCTTTCATGCTGCAGATGCTACCATTCTTAGGGGAGGAAAAACTTCAAATACCAGTGAAAACCTAGCAGGAAGGAATTATTTTCATCAAGAAGATTTCTAGCCCTATTGTATCAGCTCAAACAAATGAAATATTGTACCTGTTTGCCTGACAGCTTCCTCTTAAAATGGAGAGGACTTCCATATTCATTCACTTTATCTGATGCATTAACTTACATTATAAAAATTTGGAGGTATGGGCTGCTCTGTAAACTCTGCCCGCAAGAACAGTCATTTTAGTAGAGGTACTTTGGATCGTGCAGTTTTAGTTATTTATGAATCACACCAGGCATGACACACAGCGTGAAACTCCTGAATTACAGAAGCCACTCTATTAAACAGAACTCAGAAAGCAAAGTCCTCTGTATATGTACAGATAAGGTTCATTCACAGTCCATCAAGTAATGCATCCCCGTTATGAAATTTCAGATTGTATGCACTGATATTTGCAGAATTTCTCCCCTGGTGATGAAAGGTTCCCTCAACAGTAACAAGAGCTCATCTTCATCAGGTACATGTTTATCAGGACACCTAAACAGGAACACAGAATGGCATGTTTTGTCCAGATGACATACTGAACACAATCCTGCCGCAGCCCCACTTCCACGCTCTGGCTGCAACTGTACAAAACAAATCTGATGACACATGATTTGTTTTCGACAAGCTTCTGGAAGTATCTCAAGGCCAGATCCTATTTTTTGAAGATGAATTTAGATACCTGCTTCCATTCAATTATACTTGGCAATAACATCTACTCTCAAAAATTCTCTTACAAATTAATTATTTGCATAATTAAATCCAAGAGAAAACAAAAGGGCGTCAATATTTCACACATTTCAAAAGGAAAAAGTCCATTTTTGTTATGGTGAAGTAAGTGTAAAAGTTGCAAAGGACACAGTTACAGTTATGCATTTTTTCATCACATAATACATGTTATTTCATCTCACGTAAAAATTAAACACCATATTCTGTATTATCAAAGTTGTGCCAGCTGCTTCCCCAAAAAGGTTTCCAGAAGGAAAAAAGAGGTCTCAAGAGCTTGCAAACTCTTCCTGATAGGACGAGGAACAAGTACTTTTCCCTAATTTTCTAAGTGAACCATTTCCAAGTAACATGTATTCCAAAGAGGAAGACTAAAAGCACAGGATTTAAAGACATCTTGTTTTGAATTTGAGTTGTCAGTGTTGTGTGAACAAAATAAAAGATTTCTGACAGCAAAAATAAAGATGTACCTGGTGTATGTACAGCATCGTAAAACCAGTTTATGTTTAAATAAAGCCAGAAAGCAGCACATTCTTTGCCATACAATATTTAATGATTTGAGGGCTAAAATATGGAACACTTAAATAAGCACTAAGAACCTGTTAAGCAAGGATGAAAGAAAAGTAATCTTTATTTTCCTTATTCCAAGCATACTCTTTTAGAGAAACAGAAAAGAGCACACTCCCTTTTGAGCGGAAAATGCTTTTATGATTCAGAAGCAGCTAATGAGCTCCATCTCCTCCTAGAAATGCATGACAGAGTTAAGAAAAAAGTCAAAAAATGACACAAAAAAACGTTAGCTTTGCCCATCCTCTGTGTACATTCTGGGTTATCGAACTGGAAAGTTACTCATCCTTTATAAGTCAAGGATTCAAGCATACACAGGAGAGTTTATGTGAACATCAGTCCTGTTAGGAGTCACATGCAATAAATATACTGCCATAATTTTACTGGACAGTATGAGATCCAAGTACAAACTTCTTCTGTTTTAAATGCTCTTGACAAAGAATTAAGCTACTTAGGACCATGAAACACTCCACTTCTGTCAGGGTTTTTTTATTTGTTTCTGGGGGAGGTGTTGGGGGTTTTGTTTGTTTCTGAAGTTCTCCTAACTCCAAATTCATCAGCTGCCCCTCACTTCATTCTGGACAGCACAGCTCACTGCTTCACTGCCAGAATTCTGCCCCTACTTTATGAGCCAGCTTCTCTCAAAACTTCATGCTTCTTTTGTCCATTTTTCTCCAGAATCCATACAGATTCCTTTCAGATCACAAAGCAGTAAGGCCATAGGGCTCCATCCACTTCTGAGTCAAGCAGTCCACAACTCCTCACTTCAGCAAAAGGCCCCTGACACCGGTTACCATTGACTCAAATCTTCCAGCTGACCTACTCACACAAGTGCTTCACAGACTGGAATTAAAAATTAACCTTTTCAATCGGCACAGCTAAATTTGGACTATATGCACCCACATGTAGACAAGAAGCATTACTGAAATGCAGCCTTCCACTCAAACCAAAGACATTTTCTTTCCTGTAGCTGTCATCGGATTAGATGAGGGCAGCAAAGATCACTCTTCCCAACCCACGACATCTCCCGGTCTGTGAAGCAATCTGATTCACCAGGAGAATTCTTTTTAGAATGTTATTACAACATTTTAATGCAATGTTGAACAGAACCTGCCAAATGAGCTAGCTGGACAACTAAGAAAGCTGAAGACGGATGCACGAACCTTTGAAGTACACGTTAGCTTATCTAATGAAATCCCCTCTCCTTTTCAGCAGAACTGTTACACAATTAACTCCCTGTCCAGTGAGAAATATCATATACTGAAAGACTAGATTCCTTCCTGCTTTCTTCCCCTGATGCAAATCAGAACATTTAGCAATATAATGTAGAAATGACAAAGAGAAGGTAAGGCTCACACTGGCCTGAACCTACAGTATTTTTCCTCAAGCTAGCAGTGCTCACCCAAAAAGTCCTTCACTAACAACAGACTTTTACAGTTTCTGGTTCTTTGACCTTAAAGCTAAGGCCACAGGGATGCTCAGAACTTGCTTAGCCTCTTGAGAACGCTACTCCTCAAAGAAACACCAGTGATTCTCAATACACTTTTCCCTTACTGAACTAACTGTTCATGCCCCAATTTAACATTTAACAGTTTGAACTGAAAAGAACACTTAGGTTATTTCAACATTTCTGCAAATATCATAATGCAATAATACACCCACCCAATATGGACCTCGCTACAAAACCCACCGAATCTTTGAGATCTCTAAGTACTGCAGTGCATTATGCATTAATCCACAAGAAAAAGTTGAACCATCTGCTCAATTTTTAAACAGCTACCTCTGTATGCCACAAACAGACGGGATTCAGGTAAACTATAAAAACTTGAAAAGGAACCCAAATCAACACGCACATTCTGCAAATTTAACAAAAAAACGCCATAATGAAAAACTGATCAACATTATACAGTGAGGCATTTTATGTTTATAGTTACTAAGAGTTCTGAAATCTGCTACTGGAAAATAACTAGCAATAAAAACCTTTCCATTCTTACCTGGAGAAGGGGAGTATGAACATGTGAGACTACGTGAGGAAGCCTTCGCCATTCTCGAATCGCTAAACTACTCGCCATCTCTACCAGGCGCTCAATGAAGTTAAGCTGCTGCTCTTCTGGATGGCAAATTGCTAAGTATCCTCTGTACATATTCACTTTCCAGGCCATCTCTTTTGGGCAACTCAGCTCCACCTGTAATGAAATGCAAAGAAGTCTAGTAAAGACCATTCATTCTCAAAGAGCCTTCTTAAGTAAACACTCAGTTTTATTTTTTATGAAAATCAGCTGATTATCTTAAAATACCAGACTAAAATATCAAATTTTTTGGCATTAGAGGAGTTTCAGCTCTCTTAAAAAGTTATTGGCAAGGGCAGGATAGCAAATAAATTGCCAATTCAGCACCAGAGCAGAAGTGCCTGCATACAACCCGCTGTTAGGGTATTTTTACCCTGACAACTGCAGTGTAGCTCAGACAGCTGAGCAAGCTGAAAGCAGTCTTGCAACAGGAGCATGAAGCTCACTGCAAACCAATTCACCCTGTATAAAGAAAAAAGGTGATTCTCAGCAGATAACATCTACTACCTCTGAAATGCTTCAGGGACTCCAGAACAACTAATGTCAACTTCTCACTTAAAAGGATTCCATCCCTGTAAGTCAGCACATTATGCCAGCATTATGCTGCCTAACTGCCTGCTCTAGGACATTGTAAGTTTGTGAGAACAGTTGATAACTTTGTAAGTAACTAACCTCCCCATTTCTATCCATGTGGTTTCTGAGTACAGGGGCAAAGTCAGGTCAATAATTTTAAAAATTATTTTAAACCATTCTCTTAAAATCCTGGAAGAGTAGAAATATGGCAACTAGACATAGCAAAGTGAGTATTTTACAGTAAACTTGTACTTGTCACTAGCTGACACTGCAGGCTTTAAATCTAGAACTTTTTCACTTTTCTTTCTTCCACTTTACATCAAGTCTTTTACGGTTTGATATGCAACACAGAAATCCCTCCGCATTATTTTCTTGTTGATATACTATATCTTAACCGTTATAGTTGTTATTTCTGTTATCCTAAACTGACTTTCATGCCTGAGCCAGCAACGAGAAACTGCCAGGTAGCAACCTTACACTTACACAGTGAAAATAATCTTTCTTTATTGCATTATCTACTGGATCATTAAACACAAAGGCAATGTGAGCAAATGGAAATGAGACTTGGGTCCTATCAAAGGCCACTTGCTGCTTTAATAGCTCGACTTTAATAGGCAGATTATTAAAAGCGTTTCACAAAGATTTACAAAAACTGATACTATTTGCCATGCTTTCTGACCTCTCTTGTGAATCAACCATGGAACCTGATACAAACCAGCTACATTAAAGAATATAAGTAAAATTGGAGTAGTGAGTATAGCAGCATATAACCAATTATTCTTTCACAACCTAGTATTTATGCAAACGTGTCCTGACACTTCTACAAGATTCTGAGTAGAGCCACAAAAGCTCCGTTTATGGCTTCAGCAGCATCTTCTCCTTAGGATTTTAGTAAATGTCTCATTACTGAAAATATCTCATTTAATACAACTGCAGCTAAAGCATATCAGCAGTTACTTGTGGTTGTCACTTCTACTCAGCTTGCAAATCTCCAAAACCAGAACCTGTCAGACATGATCTATTTCATCCTGTTCGAACTCAAGGTTTATAATATACTGTACAATTCAGTTCTTATTTTAGGCATTAAAGGTTTCTCAAATATTAATTAGACACTGAAGTTGCATATTCAAATAGTACATAAAATACTAATTGTTGCAAGAACAGAAGAAGTTAGTTAAAATGTAAATATAATCTATAAGACAATTTTTGTCACATACACAGCTTGCTATTATAGATTTGGCTTCTCCTCAGCTCAAAAAAGATAAAATCCATCTTCAGAAACACCCATTTAATCTGAACCATCAGAACTACAAATATGGAACAAATCCATTTCAAATGTTGCAGTGGTTGGACACCCTTAATTTAGGTTCCATCAAAAGACACTACCTTTAACTAATTGAACAACTTTTATTGTTCTCACAGTTTAGCCTCTAAGGCAAAACATACTGAGGCATCCGCCTATTTTCCCTTCTGACAAAAATGTTACTGCAGAATAAACATACTATATTTAGAAAATGTAAGATTCAGTATGATTTTGAAGAAAGTAAGACACACACAACTGTGCATATTCATCATGCAAGACTAAGTTGTCACAATGAAGCTGTTCAGGTATTCTGTATACACGAACTTAACCCTGGAAGATTACTGGAATTAAAGGATGCTCAGCATTGTTCATAATCATGTTTTCTCTTTTGCAAATATTATGAAACTAGACAGTCAACTGCTAATTCGACATGTAACCCTACTACTGGTAGGTACTGGTTCAAAACTTAAACAGTAATGATAAAACAATAAACCCCAATTAAGTGAGGGACTAATCGTCCTGATTCTCTCCAATATGAAAACCACCACTGCCCTACTCAGAGCTTTGCTTGTAACATTCTATTTTAAATAAGCAGTTCACCACCTTTTCCAAACTCTGACACCTTTAGGAGAGTAATTCCAGTAACGTCACACTACATAGCAACAGTGAAATGAAGAGCAGCAAGTTTATTTCCACTTGTGATTTAACACAATATTCTCACAATTTGCTCCCAGATAAAAATATCTACCTACATATTTTCTGTTGCACCTTTTCAGAATATGAGGGGGTCATATACAGCATGTCTCCCATGCCATTTAAACTTTATTCATACAAGAAAAATGTTTAGGAACACTCAGAAAGAAAAAAGATCTTCCAGATTTAAATCTTTGACAGTGTTATTTTCTGCATGTAGTGTGTCACCCACCTTCAAACTGTTCTGTAACAGCCAAAACTTTACAGAGCATTCATTCATCAAGCCCACTGATAGCACAGAATACAGAGTCTCATGAGTGAAACTCAGGAAAGGACAAAGGGAAGGTTAAATGTTTTAGCAGTGCATGCTGTTCAGCAAAATGAATTACAAGCAGAACACAATAATGAACTCCATAACAAATCAGGAAGGTCAATAACAGGGAAGTACAAACAATACATATTATTCATTACCAGCTGAAGATGATAACAACCTCACTTGCCATACACAAGTTCCTTAGTTCTAACAAAAGAAGCTAAGTACTGCACTGGTTTTCAAAACAACATGCAACAAACAGGGCACATCTATGCTACTTTAGATGAAGAATATGTCCAGACAAGCTGAGGCATCTCAATTCCCAAGAGATACTAAAACTCTACTAGACAAGTCAACCTGATCTACTTGGGCCCTGCTCTGAATGAAGCACGGGACCAGATACCCTCCAGAAATCCCTTCCAACTCAAGCTATTGTATGGTTCTGTAAACTTGACATTAAACTATAGAAGTACAATCATTGAGGCATTAAGCTTCTGAGAAAACCTCAGAAAATTCCAAACTCAAGTTTTTCTGATTCCTCAGAACATCAAAAAAGGAACTTAAAGGAAACAATACCTACTGGCAGTGCTTTCAAAACCTCAGCACTGTCACAAACATATATATATATGTCTGTACAATCGTTATGATATTTACTTCTAGCACAAAACTTCACACAATTGTCGCAATTTGAAAGGAGATGAAAATATTTTTTAGCCTTATTTCATTTTTTTCCAGTAAAGACTGCAGATTTAAAAGTGTCACTTCACAAAAGCCTATTTTTTCCTTATAAGTGGTCTCAGCATTTTTACTTGCATGCTTTCTAGTATAAAGATTACGCACACAAAAAATTGTTTGGGGAACATACTTGAATGTCAATCATCTAGAAGGTAAATATGACCTTGTGGTAATGTATTATGATTCTATTTACTTCATAAACCTACTTTTGCAGATTCAAAATATTTATTACTCCAGAAGTAACCTATCCCTTTCTGTAATCCTAGCGATGTAGTGGAAGGTGTCCCTGCCCATAGCAGAGATTGGAACTAGGTCATCTTTAAGGTCCCTTCCAACTCAAACCATTCTATGATTCTATGATCCTCGTTCAAGTCCAATCCCCATCTGTTTTCATGTCAATTAACTCAAACCCTCTTATCATGCACAGCCAGCCTCCCTGATACAGCCTGCAATTCTCAATGCCTCTCCTCTCTACCAAGTCCTTTACACCTTCTCAAAGGAAAGTACTTTCTTCAACTTCTTGCTTCAATCTATTTACGCAGTTATGCCTGCCACTCCTAATCAAATTTGTACTCCTTCAGCCTCTTTCATCCTCACCTCATATTCTTCTCATTGCTTCCCAATCTCGGGCTCATTGCCTGAGGTTCCTTACCTGGTCTTCTTGTCCCTCATCTCTCATTAGATCGTTGCTTTCCAGTCTTGACCACACTGGCTCCAATCTCTGGTGCTCCCAAGATATTTTAAAATTATATGTAATGGACATATTGCAAAATAAAATGAGTCTTATTTTAAACAGAATTAAAGTAGACTCAAAGTGAGAATAAAGTTAGAAATCTAATTAGTTAATCTGCAGTAATAAAGTATTCGAGTACTTAGAAAGAAAGCAAAAGAAGACACATACAGGAAGCAATCCCCAGACAGTACAGAAAAGCATGGCTACTGAAAGAACAAACCTTCTATTATGCCTCTGCTAATCAAGCCTATAAAATCTAAGAAACAAGAAAACCAGCATGTGCCAAGTAAGTAACCCCAATACATTTCCCACCACATGTAAACAACTTCAAATTTGCCACTGTCTTCATCAAAACAGTAACAACCATTGGTATAATCTGCAGTGTATACCAGCCTCACCAACTAATAAACACTGAATCTGAGATTTCATGTTGCATTTCAGGGATTTCTTAACACACATCCTGAAATGCAGCCTTACAAATACTCCTCAGATACACCAAGGTATTTAATGTAAATCAAACAACTGGTAAGTCCCAAACCTTCACATTTTCATACATATCTTAATACCTCCTCATGTGCAGTGGAGATGAACTGAATAAATTGTGTTTAGCGTTTTATGTTTGGGCAGTAGAAGTTGAGAACGCTTTGGCTTTGCCTTTCAGGTACTAAAGCAAACAAAAACAGGCAATAGCTTTTTGCTCTTTTAAACCTGTGTTGTCCACAGACAGGGAGATGAGAACAGATGTATTTTCACGCTTTATTCCATTTTACAAAAGGATCCCGTAAAGGTGTAAAATACAAAGATGTTCCTCCCCAATATTCTCTTATTTTAAACAATACCACTTACTCGCAAGGGTCCCATTTTAAGTTTTTCCACATATCTCTGCTGGCACACACTTTGAAAAGCATTTGTTGCTTTTCAGTGATTCATTACCATGCACCTTGCCTTTCACCTGCCCTGACCACATTACTTACACGCAGTGCAGCTTTATAAACAGATAAAAAAAGAACCAAGTTTGTCTGTTGAAATGACATGCTTCATTGCCAAAATACCCAGCTGTGTGCTGGGATATCAAAGAAAACTTCCAGACAGCAAGTCACTGTGTCTGTGAAATGAACTGTAATGCTGACCTGTCAGAAATGCAATCAGTAAAATGAAGAAAGAAATGAAACATTAGCACAGAAAGCCCACACTCACCTGCACCAAAGCCTCCTTCATAGCAGTCCAGTTTGAGACCCTCCATGCACATTCCAGTACGAGGTAAGGATTTATATGACCTTTTGACTGGCCATATTCTGTCAAAGGTTCCCACTGGTTCAATTCTTTGGAGCAACTAAGAAAATCAGAACCAGTGTCAACTTGCTTACTAAAAATAGTAAAACTTCAGTAGAAGTGACTGTAAAGGTTGTGTATCAGAGTATTACCTGCATACTTGTTTGTCTATGAACTTCTTGGCAACCACTACAAAAGTTTTGTTCAGATGGGAAGATTTCAATTATTTATTTATTACCAGTTATAATACAGAGATCTGTGAAAAGGGAAAAGCTGCATTTTGTGTCTCCCAGAACAACTATTTTAAATAGGAAAACCAAATTTTAGCTCCAGTCTGTTTCCACCAATAGTAAACTACATGTTTACAACACTCCAGGCATATCACTTCCCCCTGTATCTGAGCTTAACCCTGAGCTAAGTTCATTCTCATAATTAATGCTTTAAACCAGCAGGGTATTTTACTTCTATCACAGGGCAAAAGTACTTGTTCTACATCAGCTGTTAAGTCTCACCGAATCCAGTGATCTTCCCAGAGCTGATACTCAGGAAAGATCGAAGGGGAAGCATTGTTCCGTTCATGTTCTTTCTTAGCCTTTTCCATTGCTTTTTCGTAAGTTTCTTGAGCCTAAATAAAGATCAAACCATTTTATTTTTCCAACTTCTATATACACATAAACTCAACATTCCTCTCCTGGTGAAAAAAGGGATGAGAAAACTTATGAATTCTAAGTTAAATAAACAAATAAAAGAAAGTGAAGAGTGAAGTGTGAAGTGTGTTGACTCATTCCTGAATATAGTATTTTTTGGCAGCTTTACAAATGTCATGAAAACCTGAAGGATGCGCTCAAAAATCTCACCTTTTCTAGGTATTACATGGCATGAAACTACTACTTTAGCCAGTAAAGAAGCTGTGGCACTTTATATTTTGAAGACTGAAGTTACTAATGTTCAGAATATCTTCTTATTGACCAGAATCATCCTGACAGTAGAAGTACTCAAATAATTTTTAATAGCAAGAGTGTACCTGTTCAAAAAAGCCATGTTGTTCATAGGCAATGGCTGTTGCTGTCTCTGGGAATTTACAGCGTTTCTGCCATAGTCCAGCCCACATATCCTCTTCTTGTAACAAAGAGTAGAGCTCAGCAAGGGAATCCAGTATTTCCTAGGATGTTAAGCACACACATTTCTCCACAGTCAAGCTGTCCTTATAAAGCATAGTAGATAGCAAACCCACATGTTCTACGCTGAAGCAAATGGAGAAAGACAGGGAAATACAGAACTGTTTATATAAACTCTCTTAAATACTCTAGAAGACAAGCAACTAGTAACAACCAAGTACTGAGAACACCACCACTACATTACATGACCAAAAGAAAAAAAGACCTGAAAATACTATGGCTTCACTATGGCTTGTACATCGACACTCGCTGGTCTTCTCTGATCAATCAGATCAAATCATAGAGAACAAAGTTGTCTAACAAGCCAAAAGCTCAGTCTTTAATGTAAAAAGAATCTAATATTTAGGCTCCTTGGTTGATCATAAACATTCCCAGGTAGATCATAACTACCTGACAGACTACAACAGCGTCTGTTTACAGGGAACTCCATTTGTTTAGGCAGCAATTCATTAAGGAGAAAAGGAGTCTTAGGGAGACCTTACTGCTCTCTACAACTACCTGAAAGGAGGATGTAGTGAGGTGGGGGTCGGTCTCTCTTCCAAAGAAAAAAGCAATAGGACAAGAGGAAACGGCCTCAAATTGTGCCAGGGGAAGTTTAGACTGGAAAAAGTTTCCTCACTGAAAGGGTTGTCAAGCATTAAAACAGGCTGCTTGAAGTGGCAGAGTCACCATCCCTGGAAGTATTTAAAAGACGTGTAGATGTGGTGCTTGACAGGGTTTAGTTGTAGACTTGGCATTGTTAGGCTTATGGCTGGACTCATTGACCTTAAGGGTCTTTCCCAACTTAAATGATTCTATGATACTATTGTACTACACTGTCACTGTGTGTTTCTCTTCACATTTCATGAGGTATTTCAATTAATATGACACTACCTGTTGAGGAGGAGTTATGCTTTCCTGCTCATAAAATTCTGTTGTCTGCTTCGGCTTAATTTGTAGGCTCAGTCCTTTTTCAAAGGCTTGATGTTCCAGCATCAGCGTAGAACGAAACCAGAGATTGTGAGTTTTACCCAAGTATTTCAGGACACAAGGTCTGATGGGAATGGGAGGAACACACTGTGACATTGCTTCCACGAAGCAATTCAGTGCACTCGGCTGGCAATCTCGCTGTACTTGATGGCTACCGCTGCACAAGAACGGGCTTATTTCACCTGCTAGAGCCTAGAACAAAAACCGCAAGAAGAGTTATTTGTTCATTCAGATTCTTCAATTAGAGAATAAAATCCTGTTAATACAAGAAACAATCATTTCATAAGTGTATTTCTCTTTCTAAGCTGAAGGGCCTTATTTCATTCAAAAGATGTACTGATACAGCTATACAGTATTCACTATTCACTAATGGCAAATTCTCAAAGCAAGTGGACAAGTCATTGTGTCACTACACAAATACTTTTTCCTGAAACACCAGTCATTTACAAAGAGGGATTTGTAAGTGAGGAGAGAGACATTCTCACATGTTGTTGTCTGTCAGACAAGATTTTCCAAAGTCGTGAAAAAAGCTGTATCCAAGTCTTCTCTGCTAATGGTGTGGAAATATGACATAACTGCACAAAGGCACTCAGCAACGCTCCAGTCTAGGGACAAAGAGATGTATACAAGTGAGAAAAATACGATTTATAGGAAAAAGCAGTTCACAGTTGTTTAAGCAGTGAAGCAAATGGTTTTTCCAACAATCATATCAAAAAGACATCTCCTTTAGTGATATTAATTACTGCAGCAACAACTTTATCCTATTTTCATGTTGATCAAGACTCTGATTCGTTACTCTTACTATTAAAAAAAAAGAAGGAAAAAGGAAAGAAGTTGATGACTGGTAAAGTTACATGGATAGAGCTGTAATGGCTCTACTGTTTCAACACAGCTTTCAGCTAAAATTAGTTTCTTTGAAATTATTTCAATGTAAGATGCTGAGACACTTTTCTGATCCTATCCCGTCACTGTCACCACTGTTTTCTTAACTGAACAGTTAGAATATACTTACAGATGGAGAAGGATGAAATTTAACTTTGTAAAAAAGTAATAAAGTAAAACCTAGCAATTTAGTTAAAGCTTAAGAATTTTTTACCCTGCACAAGAAATCACATCAGATTATAAGAGATGTCTCCATTAAAAAAAAAAAAGCTAAAAAATCAGAAGTGTGAGTAAAAAAAAGGTATGTCAGGTCAGTTTGAAGATGTCAGTATTAAAGTGATTTGTCAGGAAGCCAACAACCTGTACCAACCTTCACTTCTCGAAGAGAGTCAAGAAATTTGTCATGCCTGTTGGTCAACATGTGCAGCTGATTGCCAATGTCCTTCTCAGAAAGTTCCTTAGTTTTAGGTGTACTGGTCTGATCTCCTGGAGCCAACTCAATGTCTATTTCAACATCCTATACAGAAGTAAACAACTCAAAAGCATGCCAACATTTTCTATGTACTTTTGCTTTTTCCCCCCATACAAATACAAAATGCTCTTCTGATCAGCTTATTTCAGGTCTCACTGCTTCTGCTAATTCTTCAGGTTCAGATACATAACTGCTAGAGTACTACAGTAAAGAAAAGGCTAAACAAATAACTGCAAGTTCTGAGAAACCCATGCATGGTTCAAACACAGTGTATTAAACTCAAGATACACTGAACAATCTGTGCACATCATCTTCAAGACATATTCTCCAAACTTATATGACGATAAACTAGGAAGAGCAATATTCCATAAAAAAGATCTCTCTACAGTATTTTCTGTAAGTTACCTCTTCTTTGGATTCACTGTTTTCCCTTTCACGAGGCTCTTGTTTGACATGGGTTACCATAGCGAATGCTGCTCTATCGTGACTGTCAGCAAGGTTGATAACATTGGTGATGGAGGGCAGCATAGCACCCTGACAACTTGTCCCAATTGTAGTATTCCTCTCACACACTGCCAACAGGAGCTAAGACATTTAAAAGCACAGAGATTGTTTTAAATATACATTTTATTGTAGTGTTTTAAGGAAAACATCATTATAATTTAATATCAATATCAACAAGATAAAAGTTATTATAATGTTAAAAGCCTATTTATTATCTTTATTCATTAAATACACTAATACATTTTCATCTTAATCTGATCACATTTTGCCACCATTTTGAAATTCATGACTGTACTTTCAAGATGGTTTTTCAAGTTTCTCCTGAAAATGCTGAGGAAATAGGAGCCTTCTATGCCTAGAACACGCATTTTGTACTTTCTAACACGTATATTTAGTGCCCTCAATCAGCTAATGTGCACACACTCTCACCATTAACAGGGAAGTCCTCCCAAAAAAGGATGGGGGGCAAAAAAACCATCAAGCAGTGCTGTTGTTTATCTCTCTGGAAGGAGTTCTAATACCTTTAAGAGTACAAAATTATCCTCACAGTCACTTTAAGCTCATGTTTTAATATGCAAATTGTTTAAAAGAAAGGCAGTTTGGTCCCATCTTGTTTTAAATAAGCCAACCCAAAATGCAATTCCATTTCAATGCAATCCCACGTAACAGTTGTCACTATCACTAGAACAGACGCTCAAGCCTTTACAGTATTCTTGAAAACATCTAGTATAACAGTTCTTGTATTTTTTTATAATTGCCATCATTTCTAAGAGATGGGTTTTAAGAAGAATTAACCTGGTCATTAAGCTTTTTGCAGAGAAAATAGATTTTAAAGCTTGATATTAAAGCCACTTTCCAAACATCACCATTTCATGGTTTAGACGTTGTGTTTATTTTTAAGCACCACAGGAAGCATCTGAGACAGCAGACTTGATATTTTTAGCTTTGATAATACATACCACAAGACTGATGCTGCATAATGCTTTTACACCCAGTCAAGAAAAATGAGGAATAAAACATATTTCTAAATTCTATTTCCGATGCAAATAACTTCCCTACCTCAATGCACTGTTTGATCCAAAAGTGATTTCCCATTGCTTCCCAGTTTTGAGAACAGGTGACATAAAGGAGACGTTCATAAACACGTCGTTTCATCGAATTATCAAAGACCTCAAAAAATTTGGCTCGGATGAGTGGCTGGGCACAACGCAAACCTGAGAGAAACGCTGGTTCCAGTTTAGCAGTAAGCTCACTACCAGAAAGGTTCTCATCCCTAAAATGAATAGAGATGACATGACAGAGACATTAGAAAGAGAAGCCTTCTAGGTTTTGTAGGTGAAGTACTAAAAATCAACAGAGGTGATACTCTGTAGAAGCCCACATGGTATGGCACACATCTAGGAGTGGCATTTTGAAAGAAACATCAATGTAAATATTGCTACGTGTTAGAAAACTGTCCCAGAACTATCATAAAAACTCTTTCAGGATAAAATCATATCAGAATTGTGAAACACTGTCAGCCACATCTGTATTCTGTTTGAAATGACACATAATATTCAATGGTAACAAACTTCTGATCACTATGTCCAGACCAGGGCTTTGCACAATAAGCCAGCAATTAGAACAGCAGCAACAGTAATTCAAAATAATGTGAATCATAAGCACAAAATTAACTACCTGGCATTTGTTGATAATTAATTATTTCATTATTTTAATTATTTCATTACATTACAAATCCTGCCAGTTTAGCACAGTAACTCTCCTGAAAATGTAATGTACAACAAATTTCCAAGACAACTAAAAAACCAAACCTTTATACCCTATGGATGTGAAAAGACATATTTCAGCTGTCACCACAATGTTTAGAATACAATCAGCTATGAGGACACCCTGTTATCTTGGGAAATGAACAGGCTGTGATAGTGGGGATATTTCAGTGGAGCCAAAACAAAAATCCTTTCTAAGAACTTCCATTTTCATCAAACTGTCTTCCATAAACACATACTGTGGTCTCAGTGAAATCAAATGACTTCGAATTTTAGGAAAGAACAAAAAAAAAATCATCACTTAACTCAGACCCAAAAAGATTGATGCCACGTTATAAAGGTCATATATGATACAAATTATGAACCAATAAGCTACAATAAATGATTAATTGCTGTAATTACCTATAGACATAGTTAACCAGGTCTAAGAACTGGGCATTTAATTCAAGGTCTTCTGGAAAACGCTTTTCAATGTAAGTCATCATTTTCACTAGTAAAATGGACTTCTCCCGGAGAGTAGGTGTCTGTGTTAAAAGAAGACATGATTAATTTTGTCAATTCATCTTAAAGCATGCAGAGAACTGGCACATTCAAAGTACACCTCAGCCATCCTTTATGTCACTCTTTCACTTCTAAAGTACCGAAAAATAGCTTGGTAGAAGGTCATAGTTCTTGAAAAATAACTCAAGCATTTATCCTTCTAATATATGCTACAGAGTTTTAAAATCGTGACTAAAACAAGGTTTGAGTTGTTCAATGATTACAAAAATCTAACTTATATTTTTAAAAGTGTAGGTCCTTTTATAGAGCACTAGACTCTCAAGTACTCAACTCTAACAGAAAACATGGCAAATTGAGGAGGCCACAAAATGTTAGAGAAATAACATGATTTAAACCAGCATTAGTCATCCTCCTCCTGAAGAATCTCTCTATCCTAGTAATCGTGAAACATAGCTTAAAACTTTTACTCCGAAAAAAGTTCTCAGCAAAACAGCACCTGAGATCACATACCTAATATAAGCCTATAAAATGTTAGGCATCTTTCACTCCACTTACTTCCAACAGTGGGTGCAAAATATTCCAAACCTCCTCCAGGGCATCTGAACATACATAACAGATCCTTACAAACCTCACTGTCAAAAACTGTATATTATAACAGTGGCTTACAGTTATGTAGTATTTGAGAGCAATAATGATTTTTATATCCTCAATTTACCTGATTAGCTGCCATCGGGGAATTGTTTTTCACCCACTCTTCCACTATTTTTACCACTGCACGAAGAATTTTGGCATCGGTAGATTTTTCAATGAGAGACGTTAGAATAGCTTGTATAAAATTTTTCCTCATTTCCATGCTCATCACAGCCAGGCGAGTTTTCACAAGATCCAGGCTTAACATTACCAGTTCACTTGTACCTGCTGCGGATGCAAAAAAAAGGTTAGAATTGGGTATACACCTGTAAAACTACTAAAAATATTCTCAAGCTACTATGACTTTAAAAAGAGTAAGGACAATAACTGTTACCTGGAAATATATCCCTAGAAATAATGTTTCAGAATTACTACTTTCCATTCTTAAACAACTCAGACTCCTTCAAAAAACCACCTCAAATCCATTCATTCACAATCCTAAAGGCAAGTCTGTGTGGTTTCATTTTGGTAAATTACAGAACCCCAGTACTGGAAAAACTGCAATTAAACTTGTAGAAGAAATACTGTATGATGCAGCACACCTATTCTGTTCTGTTAATTTCCTGACTTGCTTATCTGTCAAGTTTAATAATTTTCCAATTGCTTCTCAGTGTTAATAAAATCTGCCAGGTTCTCACTTATCTAATTAAATACGGGCTGGAAATCTAACAGCAGCAATTCTTTCACAGCCTTTCCTTCAGCAGCTTATTCATTAATAAACCACAGTGCTCTTTGCTAGCACTGAATCTTCTTCTACAAGAACATCTGATTTTTTCCATGACTCATGACCTAATTCATTTGATGATAGACAGAATGGTCCAGAATTAAAGAGATGCTATTTTAAGATAAAAACTAAAGCATCAGCTCAAACAAGTTAATTTCACAGTTGTTCCAATGTTATCAAATAGCAATGAGTGAAAATATAAAAATGAAAGCACAGATCAAAAAAATTTAGCCCCTCTCCCCTCAAAAATCTTGAAGAATTTCAGTATTTTTATATACGCTGTAGCTCAATAAATATTCACTAACCATTCAATGAAGTGTTTGGGTTAATAATGAAATTCACATATTAGGCAGGTAACAGGAACTCTGAGTACACTTTTTTCCATCCTTCAATACTTGAGTAGTATTTCTCAGTACTGCTGAAGTATTTTTCAACATGTAACAATGCACACAAAACCCCTTTAGGATGTTAATACATCCCACGACGATAATACAACACTATCTATCTAATCATTAATATCCTTAGTCTACATAATGTCATACCCGTATTTGCTTCTGCTGTTCCTGCTGGAGCCTGTGGGTTTAAGTGTTCCCTGACCATCTTCTGCAGAGATCGCATAAAAACTGAGATCAATCTGTCAATATAGCTGGGGTTGTTACTGCACGCAGACTTCAGAATCATTAAAGTACCTATAGAGAAAAACAATACTTACGGAAGTAAAACTGTTACTAAGCATGACCAAAGTTAAGATACAGGTCTTCAATGTAGATGTTCTCATTCCATGAAAGAACACAGGAGAATGTTCTGTGCCATGAAAGCAGCATTGGACTACCCAAGTTACAAACACGACAAATCTGGATAGCTTTCAGAAACTTCAATCTCAACTTCAGTCCTTAGTGTAAGACTAAAAAGCAATTTTTGCATTAACTAAATATTTGAAAGTTCTGTATGTAAGTATGTGATGGAGGACAAGGGGGAGAAAGGGAGGATGGAAATGGGGGGATTGAGAGCAGATACTTCTCCAAAACCCTAATATATAATAATACATATATATTTT